AAGGAGAACAGAAAACCAACTGTAATATCTTGCTATGCCTTGTTTAGTCATGCAGATAATGTTATTGGGCTCTTAAGTGGAAATTATTTTAACCATAACTATTAAAGAATTTTAATGTTTGCATTTTATTTGCTGGTTTTTATTGTTTGTGTTTTGAAATTTTACACGTTTGAAATTTTCTGGATTATTGGAAGCTATCCTGAACATTTTACTGTTGCAGATGGCCTATAATTTTTCATATGTAAATGCATACATAGTCTGGGTGTAAGTAGCCCTTTGGTGCAAGCAGCATTTCCATTCCAACATGTGATACATTGACCATCCCAGCAGTTGTACACTGGCTTAGATGAATTTGGAAAGTAGACAAATGAGTTAAATTTTGTCTCAGCCATCCTATTTCACACCTTAATGTGGTGAGGACATTTGAGAGTGTTAGGGAAACTGAGATAAAAACCATCAAGAGGACTCTATTAGCAAAAGTGATGTATTGTGTGCTTTTTAGGCGTATTTTGGATTTTGTTGCCTGGCCAACATGGCAACCCTTGAACATATTTCCTCGATTTGAAAATACTAATTTAGCTGCATTAAAGAAGCCTTCAAGAGGGAATGAATGGACCAGGACTTAACTCTTTGAGGGTTTTACCTTCAACAATGGTAAACCTCTTTTATTCGGACTATAATTGCCACATTTTGTCTATACAGCACCTAAAGATTTTTCCAGATGTCCCTGCCTAAGAAAGGGACAGCCTTGCATATGACAGAGATAGCCCAGATCTTAGTGGAAGTTACTTTACTGCTGGTGCTGATGGATTTGAAATGTAATTGCGTGACTTTTACTGCCTTTCGTCCCCAGTCTCCACATAGCCAAGAAGTGTGAACTACGCCTCCATTGATAATCCTCTCATATTAACATGTCAGTAACATCTGAATCTTCTCCAATATGGTTTTTAACATCTTTGCCTGTTGAAGAAACTAGAAAATCTTCAAAAGCTTGCATTATGTATATATTTTGTGCTTTTTAGTTGGTCCAATAGAGGTATCACTGTTTTGTGGATGTTACAGTTTGTTGTATTTTGATGCATGGCCAACACAGCTAGCCCCGAATGTTAAACTCTATTAAATATGCCTAGACTCTTAGTCTCATTACAGAATGCACAAAGCAGAAACAACAGGCTCAGATGTTTCCACCCTCTTTATAAAACAAGAGCTACATCAACTCTGATAGTTCCTGTTGTGTTAGGACTATCAGAGAAATGCTCTTTGGGAAGTTACTAGATAGCAGCTATAGTGGGCATTGATCTTATATGCAATAGTAGCAAGGTTTAACTATTTTTTGTTAATAGTACACAGAAGAAGGCAGTGATAAATTACTTCTGAATGTCTTTTACCTTGAAATCACTATGAAGTGAAAATTAAAAATGAAATAAGAGACAGTACTAGAAAATGAGTTCCAACTATATTGGTGAAAAGCAAAGGACAAGTCTGAGTAGCAATGTGTCTAATGACACAACTGTGCTAAAACTGAAAGGACATTAAGTTGCTGTTATGTTCAGATGCAGAATGAAGATTTCCAATTGAACACAACATGTGTGTGTGTGTGTGTGTGTAATAGCAACAGGGAATGTGAAAATCAAGAGAATATAAAAATCATAAAATAAATAACGAATATATATTAGAGTGAGTGTACTAAGGTGGAGCAGAGAGGATAAATTTGCTTTTCATTTTTTAATTATCCAGAGACCGGAGCATGAACCAATGGATCCAAATGACAAGAAAAGAGATCCCATCAGAACATTAGGAAACATATTTACTATGAAAATTGTTTGATGGTGAAATAGACTTCCTCCTTCTTTGGAGAGTATTTAAACAGAAGTTGGATAGGGATCTTCTGGAGTGCTGTAGTTGTATATTCATGCATGGTAGGGTCGAACTAGATGGCTTTTGCATCAGGCCCTTCCTTTGCCTCTAATATCCTTCCCTCCAATGAGCAGTCGGGCTTTATTTCCTGAAGTATTGACTGGTTGGATCTTCTCATGGTCCAAGGCACTCTCAGAACTTTCCTCCAATACCACAGTTCAAAAGCATCTATCTTCCTTCACTCAAGCTTCCCTATGGTCCAGCTCCCATATCCATAGGTTACTATGGGGAATACCATTGCTTTAACTATGCTTTAACTATGTGGATCTTTGTTGCCAGTGTGATATCTCTAGTCTTCAGTATTTCCAACATAGTGTAATGTATTTTTGTCCTTTCAAAGTTTGGTTCCATCTGATGAATGTAGAAGGTGTATGCCATGATATGTTGGGCCATAAATGACCTTTGTGACTTTAAAAAATCCCTGTGCATTATAGGCATCTGCAAAGTGTTGGATTTCTTGAGCCTTTTTTGTCCACCAGATGTTCTTTAGTTCTCTGGTCCTTCTTTGGACCTCAGCTTTTCCACTAGTATAAATCTTTTCTTAGCAACACAGTTGATGTATCTTTGTCATATTTGGAAGGCTTCTATTTTCTTATCAATTAAATGTTTGATCTTTTTATCATTCTCATCAAACCAGTCTTTATGTTTCTTAGTTTGGTATCCAATGGTTTATTCACAGGCTATAACGCTAGAAGTCTTTAGTTTATTCCAGTGTCCCTCAGCATTTTCAGTGTGTTCCATAGGGAGATGATCCTTGAATGTTGTTAGGAGAAAGACTCATTTAGAAGGCTTTTGAGGGGCTTGTATGTTCATTTTATACCTTATCTTTATTCCTTAATGGCTATAATGGATCAAATTAATTGGTGGTCTGCTCAGCAGTCATCAGTGCTTGTCATGGCTTTTGCAAGAAGAATATCATGGCAGTCTCTGGCACATATAATTATATAGTTTAAGAGGTGCCAGTGCTTTGACTGGGGGTACTTTTATGCTGTCTTAAACTTGTTTTTCTGGTGAGTGTGTTGGTGATAACATGGTTGTGTTCCGCACATCTGGTCAGGAGTAGGGTGCCATTTGGGTTGCTGTTTCCAACCCCGTCTTTTCCCATAGTCCATAGCCACAGGTCAAAATCTTGCCCAACTCTTGCATTAAAATCACCCAGAAGGATGATTTTGTCCTCCTTAAGTATCTCAGGTAGAATGGTATCCAGCTGACAGTAGAATTTTTCCTTGATGTCTTCATCATCTAGTGTTAGTATTTAGGCACTTATGATAGTTGCCTGTTGGTTTTTGGCAAGATTAATTCGTAGGAAAGAGAGACATTCATTAATGCCAATGGGTGCTTCAGACAGATGTTTCACCAGGTCATTTCTGATTTCATAGATGCCTCTGTGTATTTGTCTTTCTTGTTCAGCCAGTCCCTTCCAGTAGAAGGTGTAACCTCCTTTTTTTTTCCTTTCAGCCATCCCATCCTACTCTCCGGGTCTCTTGGAGTGCTACCATATTGATATTAAAGCGCCTCAACTCCCTTTCAATAATAGCAGTCCTATGTTCAGGACACTCATTGTCTGTGTTATCTAACAGTGTCTGTATGTTCCATGTTCCAAAGTTCATTTGTATTTTTTGACCACAAGGTAGTGACCTCTCTGGACGTGGCTGTCCAGTCAAGGATAACAAAGAGAGGCAGACTATATTTAGGTCATATTTTCTAGTCCCCTAAAGTGGCTAGAAAACAGGGTTGCTCAGGCATAAATACAGCTGCCAAACAGCTCAGCTGCCTCAGACCTTGAGTTAGAATGAATGAATCCATCTCCACCACCCATGTGCCTGTCCATAGCTAAGGGCTATATATTTCACAGGCCTGCCCTCGTTGCCACTTGCCAATTGCCATGGGATTTTTGTTGGTTTTGGTTTGTTTTGGAAAGATGCTTGTGCACAAATTTGTTTTTTGTGTGGAGATCAGTGTACACTGACCAAGATGGTTTTCACAGAAAGTTTTTGGCCCAATGGCATGGTTAACACAATGACCAGTGGCCTTCTTCTCTGTTGCAGCATTCATCCACTGTCCCAGCCAAACTAATATGTAACATGTTCTCATCCACCTGCACTGCCATTGAGGTCTTCGAATTGTGCTTCATCTGGTTCCTCCCCTGTGACGTTGTTATGGGAGAACCTGCTGGGATTACATGACTCCCCACAGCTTTGATCATAGGTTCACTGGAACACACAAACCTCTTCACCACAACAAGGTGATGATCTGGAAAGGAGATGCTACACTATTAGATCATTCTTTCCCACAGCTCTCAGTGCTTCTTAATGATCTCTGGAGGGTTTCCTGGTATTCCGGAGTAGGATTCTGGGGTACATGGGAGACTGATGAGGAAGGGAAAACATTCTTTCCTAGCTCTTTGGACAGAAGCTGTTCTGTCAGTTGTTGCATCTTGCTGATTCCTGAATGAAACAAAGAACTTTGAAGCTTCATTCTCAAAGTGGCATGAAATAACTATTGTTTTTTATTCCAGTACACTTAGCAATTTAAAGAAGGTCATTCATTACTAAGGAAACTACTGTATTTGTTGTCTTGTTCTAATCATTAGAATAGCTCGTTTTCCATATTTGCCTCTGAAATAAGAATGCCTGTTCTATTCTCTACATACATTTCATCAGAGACCTTAAAGAAATGAATGGTATGAACTATGGAGAAAACATTTCACCTCTAACAGCCCCTCTTCTGAAGCTGTTCTCTTATGCTGTATCATGACATTTGGTAAAGCTTCTGTTTCTACTCACACAAAATAAAATTTCGTATGTAAAACAATACGAACAGATAACTAAGTTGATTGTATTTCCAGTGGAAGGAACATATACAGATCCTTTAGTGGAAAAGATGACTAAGTTTGGCAGAGGTAAAGTCCTACAAAGAAGTTAACTAGTGAGAATCAAGGGCACCACCTGGTGGCTTGAGGGGCAGCTTAAATCCTGCCTTTCTTCCCTTCTGGGAGGATCACAATCAGAGATAGCATAAGAAGTACTTTCTAATCAATGTTAAAAATCATGGCCCCCAGCATTTGGGTAGGCAGTTCCATATAAAATTCACCATACTTGCATTTATTTTGTACAAACAGGATACAATGTAACAACAGTACCAATGACTAAAACAATTAACAATACAACTACTATGACAAAAATAGTGAAATAATAAATGAAATACTGTTAAATATAGGGGAAAAAATATGAAACCATATTAAGTCAATATAAATCTAGCTATAAACTAAGACAATTCTGATTAGTGCAGTGGTTCTCAACCTGTGGGTCCCCAGATGTTTTAGCCTTCAACTCCCAGAAATCCTAACAGCTGGTAAACTGACTGGGATTTCTGGGAGTTGTAGGCCAAAACATCTGGGGACCCACAGTTTGAGAACCACTGGATTAGTGATTCCTCAGGGGGTTCAAATACAAAGAAATCTTGGCTGTCCCAATCTTTGGCGCCAGATCATGGATGGGTCAGCTTGGATTCTAGTATTTTTTACACACCCTCCATAGTTATATATAATTTTGTCATGCACTTTTTTTGTAAAGCAAAGACTCAAATGCTGCAACTTTTCCTTACAGATTTTCCAGCTCATGATAATTTTAGTTGTCTTTTTCTGCACCTTTTCCAAATCTCTCTCTCTATATATATATGTATATTTCAGTGAGTGGAAGCTACATGCATTTAATGTGTGTGTGTGTGTGGCAGGGGATCAAGAGCCTACAGTTGCCCTATATATTTTGTTTCATTGTGCCATCCTTGTTCCTGACTCTTCCTTGTCCCTTCTCGCAGTTCCTTGGTAAATATTCCCACCCCTCTTTTATTATTGTAACTTTTTAAAGATTTCAGCATTGCCATAGTCTCTTTTGAAACCAGCCTGATTTTTCTAAACTGAAAAAGACCACTTCCTAGGTTCTTCTCCTAAAAATACATTATCTCTTCTAAATCCTGTCCAGTTCATAAATTTCTATGGGATGCTAATGTATGAAAATGAACCATGTTGTAGTTGCTGTCGTTATCAGTACTGTTGCTGCTGCCTGCTGTTTCTGAAGTGTTAAGTTTCTGTCAATGTGCTCCTGACAGTTTTAATAGGAGCACTGTTGCTTATCCATATTTAGAACACAATCTAGTCAAGCTTTCTGATCCACAAAGGAACATGCCTAGCTCCTAATAATATCAGTGCCAGTTGAACAGAATTCGATTAGATTGTGCATTGTATTCCATCTATCAGCTAATTTCCATCAGACCCATTGTGTATTTCATTAATTAATGGTTAAAACATACACAATATTTTATACTTCCTGCTGTATCTACATCTGATCAATAAATGTGTCAGCTTTAACATCCCCAATTGGTCTTTATTGCAACCAAGTAACATGGCTTTTCTTCTGTAGCATCTACAACACAGTTTCGGTGCAAATTAGATTACCTGACTCTGGTTTTCCATTCCAATTTATAATATTTAGCATCTACCTTTTTGTTCAATAGCGACAGATCTATCTGCAATAATTTATTTTTTGGTGGATCCCATCTTGGGGTTTGCTTTTTAAGTGGACTTACCTGAAAAATATTAACATTGAAGCACATATCATTTTAAATATTAAGCTGAAAAGGATCCTAAAAAAACTTATAAACAATAGTGAAAACAAAATGGCACCTGGTTTCAGGTATATACAGTATGTGTGTGTGTGTATAACAGATTGCAAAAAACACCATAACATGTAATTTGAACTCCCGCTGTTAGCCCCAGCTTCTGCCAACCTAGCAGTTTGAAAACATATAAATATGAGTAGATCAATAGGTACTGTTCTGCAGGAAGGTAACGGCACTCCATGCAGTCATGCTGGCCCCATGACCTTGGAGGTATCTATGGACAACACCGGCTCTTCGGCTTAGAAATGGAGATGAGCACCACCCCCCAGAGCTGGGCACAACTAGATTTAATGTCAGGGGAAACATTTACTTTTTTTACCTTGGTTTTAAAACCAAGAGTTGCTGTTTTGCAAGTACAGCAAATTGTCTAAAATGAAATAAATAAGGTCAGCATGAATTTTAATCTCTGAGTGAGGTGATTTCACACATAAGTTTGCGACAATGCATCCCAGGCTTTCTTATTCATTTCTCATATCAGATTAGTCAACAGATTTCTTTGCCTCTTTCCTACAAGCAAAAAATAAATAAATCATACATGTAAGTTACATGATGTAACCTCTAGGGCATTGAGTCTATCATTACTCTAATTAGAGAAAATAATGAACAGTTTAAAAGTACAGTACTTTCTTCAGCAGAAAAAAAATCATTTCCACCAGGCTGCTATCACTCACAATGTGCAATAAAACTTAATTTTTTAAAGCTGTATTTACCAGTCAGGACAACCTTGTAAATATTGCTTTTGGATTCCATAAAGGCAAACCATTTTGCAGGATTTGGTTCTAAACAGCTTTCCCTAAAACTGAAAACATAAATCATGATGGCAAGTGATGGAGATTCCACATTTAATCTATGAAATCGCTCTTCTTGTCTGTAGTTCCCATTCTCACTTTATTAGCTTGTCACAGAGTATTTGCCTGCTCCAGTTGTGTTCCCTGGTTACTGTTCTATCAATTTGTCCTTTTGCTTATATGACAGGGTGCTTGTCCCACGTTGAACTACAATGGCAATGTGGACCTTTCTTTTGAACGGTGTCGGCTGTTAGATTTGTACAATGCAGTCTCCTTTTTTAGATGTTCTCATACACATCTATACTATTGTTCTCATACACATCTTGGATTTCTCCTTTTATTACCTGTTGAGACATAAAACATTTGGTGGAAACAAGAAGAAAAGTATCTTTTATTATGAATAGCATGAATCACTTTACTATGAAGGGCATAGTGACTATATCATATAGTGAAATAAATTATTCTGCTTCTATAAGAAAAGACCCAAGTTTTCACTAGTAACTCAGTTAAAGAACATTCCATTAATGAAATCCTAATGGTAAACAAGATTTTTGCCAAAACGATCCCCAAGGTCTCAATGACCTTCAGTTGGTCACTGTGACATGTGCAGAAACGTATTCTAAATCTAACCACCACTAATTGTATTTTAAACACTTCAGGAAACTGAACAGAGGAATATTCTTCCTACCCAAATAGGAATGTTATTAGAACTAGCAAAATAGGATGTCTAGAAACTATTGCATTGAGATCCTTACCCATTGTTTCCTTTCAAATATCAAAAGGACCATCAAAAGTATATTATTTTATGAGATGAATAATCCCATGTATTTTCAGTCTCGGGGCCCAAAAATTGGTTCTTGATACAGGTATTTCTGAAGTTTTGATTCTAATTAGGCATGTACAGCTATAGGCAATGTAGAGATATTTAATACAAGCAGATATATTTATAAGTTGTCTGTAATTTTATATGGCCTCCTGGAAAAGGCTTAAAAGCACACAAAACATCCTTTCTTTAGTTAATGAAAATACAATTGTTTTAGTATATCCAGATGTGTTTCCTCTTTTCCTTGCACATTCCATTGGATCACATGGAGTTTTTGTTTTTCTATCAACCAGCTTTTAAGCTGGGAGCCTCTTTGATCCATGGATATCTAGAGACAGGTCTTTCAGATTGGTCTGCATCCCTACAAGGCCTTGTGCTGCAAGGTAAGGAGTCTTCATAATGCTTGCACACAATCATATTTTAATATTGTTATACTGTATTTCTTCAGTTGTAAGACACCACTGATTGCACCTTAATTTCAGTACCACCACTAATATAAAAAATACATAAGATATACCCGCAATTATAAGATGCACACCATTTCTAGAGATGTTTATATACAGGGGAATTGCATCTTAGAATGGAAGAAACCATGTATTTCTAAAAATTACATGTTTTCCATATTGATATTTTCCTTATTCATGTTGTCTGTGGTTCCCTTTTACTATGTCTTCACAAAATAAACAGTGCTCCCCATAAATTTATTTTTGCATGCCTAAATAATCCAATTAAAGTTCAGTGGGTGCAGCATGTGAACCACTCTTTTAAAAATCCATTGTATTAAAATATATCTTGCAATGAACCCTCAGGGATGATGCACAAAATTACAAATAAGTACATAATAAAATGCATAAAACAGGAAAGCAATTAAAAATAGCTATTAGAAATATCATCAATATGTATTAGCCCAAAAAAACCAGCTTCTCGGCAAATATTGGCAAATTGAGAAGTTTCAACCAAAAGCTTGCCAAAATAAATGATTAACTAGCTTTCTAAAACTGAGCATAGAACAGAATTTTCAAGTCATTTTTAGGCGTTCCATAGAAAGCAGTAGGATAAATAATCCAGGTCTGTGATTTTATATGTTTCCTGTGGGGGCCATACATACCAATGCAATTCCCAGGTGTTTATAAAACCTCAAATTGAAGAGGGTCTATTTTAATTCAGCTGATACTATCTTTTTTATCCCAAAGCTGTGGCAAAGCAAAGAGTCAAAGCATTGCACTTTCTAGGTGTAAGTCCAACCCCCTATATCCCCATTGGCCACTGATCGTGGGGTGCACTAGGAGAAATCTACTAACACCTGGTTTGCTGTTTTCACCCTTGCAGACTGTTGCATATGTATGCTGACAGAAATAGGATCAGTTTCAAATAGGATTTCTGCCATCATATTTAATTTCTATCTCCACAGCAACTGAGCATCATGAGGAAAGGAAAGATGAGTGTAACTATAAATGATATTCGGTATTTAGCATAGATTATATCTTTATTTCTTTAAAATCGTTCTTTTGTACCCCAAAAGCACCTGTCTGATCTTAGAAATTAAGCAAGGGCAGTCCTGGTTAGTACCTGGATGGGAAGCCATCTACAGGGATCAGAAAAAAGAACCATGTCAGTGCTCCTGGCCTAAACCCTATTAAATCCATGGGATTGCCATAAATCAACAAGCAACTTGAAGGCATATATACACACATCACCATTCACTCAAAAATATTTAGGACCTCTCTTCTGTTTTTCCCTAATTTCTTCTTATATGTTTAACATTGTCAAGTAGCAATTCACAGGCTACTTGTCGGGTAGATGTGAGCATTGCATTCAAATTTCTGCAAACGATGTAGCATGACAATAAGCCACAATCCAGGCTCTCCCAAACGCTCTGATATGCATACTCTGGAATCCATTTTAGTACATGAGTGAGATCTATTTCACATTATATTTTTGTGACTATGCCGATACGCAGTTGACTCCACATCTGCTATTTTCAAACCAACAACCACCATCCAAATTGGCCCCAAGAGCGATATAGACATAATCTGGAAATTAAGCAGCTGGCATTCCAATTGGTCTTGTCTAAAGAGAATTGCTCTGGCAACCTTTATACATTTTCAGTGCCAAACTTAGAAACAAGGCACCAGAAAAATGACAACGAAGCCCAAATGTTCTCTTTCTAACTTGAGTTAGAAGAATTAGCTTATAATGAAATTTTGGAAGAAACAAAAAGCAAGAGATTTTGATTGTGTATGTATTCCAGTGTTTTGAGTGCTAATTAAAAGTATAAGAGTCTTGAAACAATAATGCTGGTTTTAGCTGATGAAGAGCTCAGGAAAATTTTAAAGATCAGAAAACTGTTATAACTATTGTTGGATGCCTAGTTGCACCATTCGTATTACTGTAAGACAGTGGTTCTCAACCTTTCTAATGCCGTGACCCCTAAATAAAGTTCCTCACATTGTGGTGACCCCCCCCCCACCATAAAATTATTTCCATTGCTACTTCATAACTGTAATTTTGCTACTGTTATGAATCATTATGTAAATATCTGATATGCAGGATGTATTTTCATCATTACAAATTGAACATAATTAAAGCATAGAGATTAATCACCAAAACATGTTTGGAGGAGTATGGACAATGGATGATGGGCTTTGCAGTACCTTCAACAGATTCAGTTCTGACTTCCACAGACAACTGAGACTCCCAACGAATGAAAGACCTGGACAAAACTTGGCACACAGAACCCCCATAACCAACAAAAAAAATACTGGAGGGGGTTGGCAGTGATTTAGGAGAGATATAGTTCACCTACATCTGGAGAGCAAATGTGAACCCAAACAACCATGGATCTGGACCAAACTTGGCACAAGCACTCATTATGCCCAAATGTGAACACTGGTGGAGTTTAGGGAAAATAGACCTTGACATTTGGGAGTTGTAGAGTTACTATTTTATTATTATTATTATTATTATTATTATTAGACTCAGTTGGAAGGGACCCCAAAGGTCATCTAGTCCAGCCCCCTCTTTTATGCCAGGCAGGAAAATAAGAGTTACTATTTTATTATTATACATTATTATTATTATTATTATTCTCAGTTGGAAGGGACCCCAAAGGTCATCTACTCCAGCCCCTCTTTTATGCCAGGCAGGAAAATAAGAGTTACTATTTTATTATTATACATTACTATTATTATTATTATTATTATTATTATTATTATTATTATTATTCTCAGTTGGAAGGGACCCCCAAAGGCCATCTAGTCCAGCGCCCTCCTTTATACCAGGCAGGAATATAGAATTAGTGTATTGTTATTATTATGTAGTATTATAAGACTCATACAATTGAAAGGAAACCCCAAAGGTCATGTAGTCCAGCCTCTTCTTTCTGCCACACAGGAAGATAGAATTACTGCAGGAGCAATAATAATAATAATAATAATAATAATAATAATAGTCAATGGAAGGGCATTGGGCCTTTGGAGTTTTGGAGTTATAGTTTGCCTACATCCACAGAGCACTGTGAACTCAAACAATGATGGATCTTTATCAAATTTGGCACAAAAACCTGATATCCTGGAATTGGAATACTGGTGCACTCGAGAGGCGCATGGAGGCAGAGGGATGAGATTCCTTCATCCATGGCCCCTTGGCCCTGCCGCTACCGTTCTCTCCCCCGGTGGCTGCGAAGGGCGAGGATGAGGGGTGGAGCTGGATCTGAATGGAGGGAGGGAGGGGCCAAGAGCAGAGGAAAATAAAGAACGAGGGAGGGAGGGAAGGGAAAGATGAAAGGAAGGAAGGGATTACGGCAGAAGGAAGGAAATGGAAAAGATTGGGAAAAAGAAGGAAAGAAATAAAGAGAAGGAAAAAAGAAAGAGCGAGGAAGGAAAGCACCTGGGGCTGCAGAGCTGGATGGCAGCGGGAGGAGCACCTGTCTCTCTTCTCTACGCTCCTAGTCTCCGGCTGCTCTCCTCTTGCTGCCCTTTGGCCCTGGTGCTGGCATGGCTGCTGCTGCTGCTGGTTTCCCACCTGGGGGCAACAGGAGCAGCAAGAGGAGAGTGGCCAAAGACTAGGAGCGTGGCGAAGAGACGGGTGCGCCTCCAACTACCTGCCAGCCCTTTCCTTTTTCCCCTCCCCTTTCCTTCTCCCTTCCTCCCTTCTCTCTCTTTCTTTCCATCATTGTCTCTTTCTTTCCTTCTCTCCTTCTTTCTTCCCTTCCTTTTCCCTCCCTTTCCTTCCTTTCTTCTCCCTCGCCTGACTCAACCTGCCCGTCGGGTCTGTCAAGCGGCAAAAGCCAGGCGAGGAAAGCAGCACCGCGTGGCCTGGCCTGCCGGGAAGCCCCTCCCCTGGCTCGCGTCGCCCATCGGGCCTCGCAAGCCAGGCGAAGGGATACCCGCAAGGCTAAGCCACGCGGTGCTGCTTTCCTCGCCTGGCTTTTGCCGCTTGACAGACCCGGCAGGCGGCACAACCCAGGTGAGGGAGGCAGCACAGCCTGGCCTGGCCTGGTGGGAAGCCCCTTGCCTGGTTCGCGCCGCCCGTCGGGCCTGGCAAGCGGCGAAAGCTGGCCACAGCCAGGCGACCGAGGCAGCACTGCGCAGCCTGGTGGAGGGGGCGGGGCCAATGGACATGGGGCCGCGACCCCTCTGAAATGGCCCGGCGACCCCTCTAGGGGTCGCGACCCCCAGGTTGAGAAACGCTGCTGTAAGATCTATGTGTGTACTCATGTACTCATGCATTCGTGTGTACACAGAAAGAGATAACTTGATAGTAAAATGTTAGAAGTCACTGTCATCATCATCACTATCATCATTAAGTATATTTAATGTTTTGTCAAAGACTTTCATGGCCAGAATCACTGAGTTGCTGTGAGTTTTTTGGGCTGTATGGCCATGTTCCAGTAGCATCATCTCCTAACATTTCACCTGCATCTGTGGCTGGCATCTTCAGAGGTTCTGTTGACAGTGAAGCAAGTGGAGTGCATATATATCTGTGGAATGTCCAGGGTGGGAGAAAGAGCCCTTTTCTGTTTGTATCATGTGTGAATTTTGCAGTTAGCAAGCTTGAATGGTATTGATTAATCATGAAGGTGCAAAGTCAATCAGCGAGGGTATCTATGCAAAAATATGCAAATCATAACACTTGCCCTAAATTTTCAAAGGGCTACATAAGGTATACAGATCTTCTAGATGTTTACAGTGCTCAGCTAGCGTTGACTAAACACAGTGTTATAGTGTAGCCAAGGCACTACACTTGGAAGGCCATCACACTCGGACAATGATCGTCTAGTAAAGTAAGTTGAAACAATACATTTGCTTACTACAAATCAGTTTCTCTTAGATTATAAAGCTTCTCTGAGAAGATTCCTCTTGTTACATGTGCAGTAGCGAAGATACTTGTATTAATACACATAGTGTGTCGTGAAGCTAATTTCTTCATATGTCTGCTTTTTATTAGAAATGAGACCTCAAATAAGTGTTACCATTTTGGCTGTTATAAGAACTCATAAAAGGAAAGGAAATACATATCTAGACTCCACTTCATTGCTTTGTTTTCCTTTGACTTGCAATAGTAAAATGAGAAGAGCAATTTGGCAATTGGTTCACTTGACAAAGCCAAGAAAGGTCATCATTGCACCTATTTATTTTTTTCCAGTATTTCTACCCCATCCTTCTCGACCCCCAAAGGGGGACTCAGGGCAGCTTAAAACGGCAGCAATTCAATGCCGACAATATACAACACATTACATACAACAAAAGATAAAACAGTAGATTAAAATACATTAAAACATTGTTATTATCATGTAGCCGAATCAAAGTCTGATTTAGCAACTGATGATCCAGTCCAAAGCCTGTCATAGTCACAATTCCAACATTATGATTACTGCCAAACCTACTGTCCAAATGCTTGGTCCCAAAACCATATTTTGAGCTTCTTTCTAAAAGAGAGGAGGGATGGAGCCGACCTAATCTTGCTAGGGAGAGCATTCTACAGGCGGGAGCCACCACTGAGAAGGCCCTATCCCTCGTCCCCGCCAAATGCACTTGCGAAGAGGACGGGACCGAGAGCAGGGCTTCCCCAGACAATCTTAAATTCCGAGGCAGGATGCAGATACGTTTGGACAGGTAAGCTGGACAGGAACCATACAGGGTTTTATAGGCCAAGACCAGCACTTTGAATTATGCTCGGAAATGGACCGGCAGCCAGTGAAGCTGACATAACAGAGTGGTGGTTTGTTCCTTGTATGTTGCTCTAGTTAGTAATCTGGCTGCCACCCGTTGGACTAGTTGGAGTTTCCGAACAATCTTTAAGGGCAATCCCACTTTGAGTGCGTTGTAGTAATCTAATCCACCTACTCCAGAGGAAGAATTCTTCACATGATCCCTTTGGCTCTATCACTAAGATGGTTCTCTGTGTGAATTTGGTAAGATTTCCTTAGGCAAGAAATATTCAGAAGTCATTTTATCAATTCCTTCCTCTAAAATATAGTCTATAGCACCTGTATTTGTTGACTTCCTCCTATCCAAGTACTAGTGAAAGCTGACTCTGCTTAGTTTCCAAGCAGATGGGTTCTAGTGCTTTTAGCGTATTTCAGCACAGCAGCTAAATCCAAAAAGGAACAATTAAGAGAGCAAGGACAAACATGTCTGACTCACCTTAGTTGTAGGCATCGCTGTGTGTAATGGGCTACTTAATTTTTTCTCAAAGTCTAAATAGACATCAGGTTGGTGGGGTTCTAAATCCTGGAGAAAGAGAATAAGGGATATATTCCATATTCATTGTACATGAAGAATAGATTTATTCAAATACATCTCAGCAATATTTTTATTTTTATATTTGTGATCTCATTAATAGAATTCTCTCTCATTGACATATACATGTAAGATAGGATACCATGTAGCAATATACCATACTCTATACCTATTTAGACCCAAATAAAATACTCTTAAAAGGGTGTTTTGATGGACAGATCCAAGAAACAAGGGGCATGTTGTCATTACTCAAGAAGGAAATAATTGAGTGAACACAATCCTATGCATTATAATTATTCAGAATGAATCCAGCTGTGTTTAGTTAAAGTATGTCATAGCATTTTATCCTAAATTATGTACATCCGTCAAGATTTGGTAGTATCAAGTTGCCCTGATCCTGGGACCTCCCTCACAATTGAATGTCCCATTTCAAGGTTTAATACTCCGAATTGCCAAAAGTTTCCAATAACCCTGGCAGTGGAAGATATCCAATGGACTTCCTTGACAAAGGAGCCCTCCCTCACTGTAACTTTTTTTTCAACAGAAAGATTCACTATTGTCCTCATCCCCCTTTGTATGTCTTTAGTGTTGCTTTGTATACATGAGTGTTGTTAGAATAGAATTGGACACAAATGAGCAAATGGAAAAAAAAACATGCAGTTGGAAAAATGGAAGGGAAAGTAGACCTATTAAGTGTTTATCAGGCAATCTTAGTAAAAATCAAAGCCCAGTTTTAGAGAAGTGCCAATTTTTTAGTAAAACTTCGACACAGACACATAAATGGCTCTTGCCCTAATATAAATATCACTGATTTTGGGGTTTGCATTACTGTGTAAGCCATAGGGTTGTTTTAAGGAAGTGAGGGAGAATCTGTGGCATAATGTAAAATAAACCACATGTTGTTCACATTTGATCAGCCCACACACTGTCTTGCCAGAGAAAATGCCATGCAGATGATCAATAAAAACAAGTAGTTTACTCTTCATAAATCAGAACAACATATGTACAATCGTATGATCAGTTGCATCGACTCACATAATGTCCCTTTAGAGAGATTTTAAATGGTCTTTCTTTGTCCATGTGGAAAGATTCCTTCCAGCAGCTCATGAAGCAAATGTATACTCCTAACTTTCTCTCTCTCTGCTTCTCTGCAAGCACCTCCATAGCTCAAGCTTGTAACAGTATCCAAAGTCCCAGGCTCAGTTGGCTCCCCAGGCGTAGCCCAACCAATCAGTTTTGTGCATTTTATTTTACATTGACACACACACACTAACTGATTTCTTACATGCTCCAACAGATTCATACATTAATTATTGCTGTATAATAGAATAGAGCTACCAATTTCCTTGGAGAAATCACTACTAATCCATGGTATATAAACAAAGGGAAAAAAGCCTACTTTGGCTGGATCTATATTACCATATAATGCAGTTCCTGCATTGAACTGGATTATATGAGTCTACACTGCCCTATAACCCAGTTCAATGCAACTAATGTGCATTCTGAAACTGCATTATTTGGCAATGTCACTCCAGCCTTTATGTCTGTGTGGTTTGTTTCTTAATGTATAAATGGTACAATCAACCATTTATACCCATGGATTCAACCATCCACAGCTTGAAAATATTTTTAAAAGCAAACCTTGATTTTGCCATTTTATATAAGAGTCACTATTTTACTTTGCCACTATAATAAGACTTGAGCATCCACAGATTTTCGTATCTATGGTTGATCCTGGAATCAAACTCCATGGAATACCAAGAGCCCACCGTCTCCCTCTCGCTCTCTTTTTGGAATCTTCTAGCACTTCATAAATCATCTTTTAAAATATGCAAATTTGAAATAATTCATTCCCACTGACACAGAGGTAGAACTAAATAACTAGCACTCCAAACACATGAATATTTACACAAAAGTACATTTCATCATGCCCAGTGGGGCTTATTCACTGTATAGGTTTACACCCTGGATAGTTTAAGACAAAAAGAAATAAGATTATTTAAATATATAATGTATTTATTTGTTGCATTACATAGCACAAGTCTCAATTTCAAGGAAAGGCAAATCCCGTCCCCTAAATAGGGCAATAATGGTGCATGTATGTATAAGTCTCAGGGTTTTCTTACTTCTCTATACTGATGGCCACAGAGGAGGAAAGAGACGACGCTGCTCTTTTCACCCCCACAGCAGAATGTATAGCCACAGAATAGTGTTATGTTCCTAGTCTCCTCAATTTATAGCAATTTGTTTCAAAGCAGAAGCTTCGGCATTCTTCTCACTCTGACTACACAGAAGCATTGGCAAATGAAGTGCATGAAGAAAGATAAACATCTCACTACTAAAAATGTTTGACAGATTTAATGATGCTACAAATGTCTCCCACCAATAAGCAATCAGAAGACTTTTCTATGCATGTTTATGGTAACTGGTTGTCATGGTGATTGTTCCCTTGGCAACAGGAAGATGGAAGGACTTAGCAGGCAGGACAGACAGGTGGCACTAACAGAGGAGTGCAAGATGGCTCAGTGATGCAGCAAAAATTAAAGAGCGAGCGGTCATGGTTTCAGTTTCCTACCATTCACTTCAATGGGCAGCATTTCCAAAAATCAAGCTTCCTACTATAAATACATTGGAAAGATAGGGAAGGAGGAAAATAATGCAAAAATACAGGAATGGATACAAGAAAACAGCATGCTGACTTTAGGCTTGGGGCTAGTTTTTGATTCAATGGACACATGGTCGTGTTACTCATGTCACCAACACTACTTCAGGCAAGGGTGAGAAAGAGCAGAGTTTGAAGGGCACCTAAGTCCCCTTTCTAATCCCTGCTCCTTTTTATTTTATGTAAAATATCTTATATACTTTTGTATAAGTCAACCTCATGTATAAATCAAAGGCAGTACTCCTTGACTCTTGAGCATGGGTTAATTTTGCTTAGCAGGACGAACAAATGGCTTCTAGAATAAATCAAGCCTGAGCAATCCTTAGACCCAAGATGACTAAACTAAGGCTGTTGTATTTTGTGTTGGAGCATACAAGGAATCAGTTAATGTATGTGTGTGTTAACAGTAAAATAAGATTCATGAAGCTGATTGGTTGGGCAATGCCCGGGGAGATACTAAGCCTGGAACTTTTGGTTATTGTTACATTTTTGTTCAGGCTTGAGCTAGGCAAATGTTCAGAGACAGTTTGAAGAGAGATTCAAAGAGAGAGAGAGTTTGGAGTGTGCTCTCCTGTTTCATGAGCTGCTGAAGGAATTAACATGGACAAAGGAAGACCATTTTAATTCTCTCATAAAAGAACATTATGTGAGTTGATGCAACTAATCACATTGTACATATGTTGTTCTGAACTAAGAAGAGTAAACTACTTGTTCTTTACTGTTCACCTTCATGGCATATTTTCTTTCTCTGGCAAGATAGTGTGTGGACAGACCAAACGTGAACTACACGTGGTTTATTTTACATTACGTCACACTTTGAACATGTGACTCACTAGAAAAAGCAATCATGTCTAGTAAGGTTGCAGGCAGTGGAAAAAGAGGAAGAATATAATACAGATGGATCAACGCAATTAAAGAAGCTACAGCCCCGAGTTTGCAAGATCTGAGCAGGCTATTGAAGAGAGGGTAACTTCACAGTCTCCCATTTATAGACTCACCATGACTTGAAGTCAACTTGGCAGCAACAACAATATGAGGAAAAATTCTTATTGAGCTAAAAACCACAATAGATACTTACAGTATACATGGATTCAGGAGGTCCCAGGCTGCCCGAAGTGTGCTGAGGTGTTGATTTTTTATTTGGGCATTTCTTGACACGGTTCTTCTCAGGCCACACCACCTTTTCATGAGGACATAAATTGGAGCAACAGTGACACATAAATCCACAATTTATAAGATTTTGATTCTCCCCAAATGTTTGTCCTTTATGCCATCCCAATTTGTTCAAAAGTTTTTGGAAACAAATAAAAGTCACACTACATTTTGTGGAGATACCAACCTAAACTCAAGTCTCTTCTACACAGCTATATAAAATCCAGATTATCAGCTTTGAAGTGGATTATATGGCAGTATAGACTCAGATAATCCAGTTCAAAGCCGATAATGTGGATTACCTGCCTTGATATTCTGAATTATGTGGCCCTCATCTAGAACTCAATGATCCTAATACAAGATCAGTATTCCAGAGGTATTGACATGTAGTCCTGTTATTAATTACTCCGGAGCCTTTGTGCCTTCATTCATTCCAAACATCAGAAATTTGAGTTATTCCCTTCACTCTTACTTTGGTATTATATTGCTTACAGGTTTCACAGGAGGGTTCACGGGGCTTTTATTTCTACTCTAAAGGCTGCCCTGAACCCCCCACCGATAACAGATTCTGTCAGAAAGTGGTGTGCAAGAACAGTCATTTATTTCTGGGCAAGCAGGAAATATATACAATCAGTTTAGCTCCCCAATAAAGTTGCAGGTTAAATTATTTGGGGTGGCATTTACCCTGTAGAATGAGTGCAATTTGATATCACCAGGCTCAATAGAATCATAAGAGTTGTAGTTTTACAAGGTCTTTAGCCATTTCTGCCTCACCAAACTACAACCTTGGATTCCAAAGCACTGAGCTGTTGTGGTTGAAGAGGTGTCAAGCTGCATTAATTCTGCAATGTGGATGTGTCATAAGTCTCTGAGATCTAACCAAAAAGGCATCTCTGCTAAATCAGCTGACACATTTTTTTAATAAATAACTATCACACAAATACTTATAAAACTGCAGCTGACAAGGACCATCACTAAATAGAGACCAGGCCTCTTTCAAGAGGATCATCTACTACTGTAACATATACACTCACAATTAAAAAAAAAGATTTTTCAAAAGTACTAGGTTTTAGGATCTACTCTAAATGGATGGAAAGACTCCTTGAAGAGAAAGTGTCTCCAAACATTTTTCAAGGGGTCTTTCTTTGATGGGGACTCTGTTGAGAAGAAGGTGGGGAAGTCCAATTGCATGTGCCTATATTGGGATTTAACCCTGTTAATTTTAGTCCTATATATATTTGTGTGGCAGTAATTGATCAAATCACCAATTGAACTGATGAACTGTAATCAAGGAGATGTGATAGCCATGTATAAATATGTGAAAGGATGTCATAAGGAAGAGGCAGGAGGTTTGTTTTCTGCTGCCCTGGAAACTAGAACTTGGAGCAATGAGTTCAAATTACAGGAAAGGGAATATTAGCAAGAACTTCCTGACTCTAAGCGCTGTTCAGCAGTGAAACTCCCTGTGAAGTGTGGTAGAAGCTCCTTCCTTGGAAACTTTTAATCAGAGGCTGGATAGCCATCTGTCGGGTGTATTTTGATTGTGCTTTTCCTACATGGCAGGGGGTTGGACTAGATGGCCCATGTGGTCTCTTCCAAATTTATGATTCTGTGATTCTATAAGTAACATTAATTTAATTTGCCAACTAAGATTTATTTGAGCCATGTGATGATTGTAATTCCAAATGGCAAGATGAGCTATGGGAGGCTTTTGCTGCAGACCTTTGCCTTGTAGTTACAAGTACAACTTAATGGAGTTAATGAAGGGTATGTTTGATAACTTGCCTCTCTCTTCCAGAATAGCAAGGCTGTTCCCCCAATGCTTAAGGCAGCTAAAATAACAGTGACAGTGATCAGACAAACCCATGTAGTAGGAAATGGTTCTATATATCCTTTGTCTGTAAAGAAATAAACAGAAAGGAAGGAAAAGGAAGGTTTTAATTGCTGAGATAAATTCTATAGAATTAACACATATATAATAGCAATATTCATGGTGAATCTGGTAACAATAACCATGTAGGTGGATGGCACTGTATAAAGATGTATACTGATCTGTTATATGTTTGTTTGTTTGTACTGTATATAGTATTTCTGTATTGCCTCCCAACCTACAAGGGTTCCTAAGACAACAAACAAATAAAAACCTATTAATGCTGAGATAAAAAAAAATTAAAACACATTAAAATATATTTTAAAGCTCTGAAAAGATTATAGATTCCAGAATTGTCTAAAAACTATCCTAGAATCTAGTTTTAAAATAAAAACAGCAATGTCAGCAAGAGAATGCCATGAGGAAGAGCACTGTTTTCACCACTTGGTAGAAGCTTTAAAAAGATGGGGCCAGCCTAGTCTCCTTCAGTAGAGACAGGTTCACAGTTAGGAGCTGCTACAGAAAAAGTCCAGTTGCATGTACCCACTAACCTACTTTCAGGTTCCTTCTACACTGCCATATAAAATCCAGATTATATGCTTTGAAATGGATTATATGGCAGTGTAGACTCATATAACCCCGTTCGAAACAGATGTAAATTATCCGCTTTGATAATCAGGACTATATGGTTGTGTAGAAGGGGCCTCAGATAACTTTCGGATATCTTGTCCCCAAAGCATTTAGGGCTTCCCACAAGTCGAGCCTTTGATAAGGGAAGGGGTGAAAGGAGGACCTCCCCCGAAGATTGAAGAGATCGGGCAGGTTTGTGGAAGAAGATGCAGTCATGACCATAGAGCCTGAAAAACCTACAACAACCCAGTGATTCTGGCCACAAAAGCCTTCGACAATACATAGCAACTTCCCTTCAGAATCTGTTTTTCCCCCATGTTCATATGGAGGAAATATAACCTGAAAATCCCTTCATACCAGAATTCCAAATTAGCTCTTGTTTAGCTTACCTCTGAAACGGATAAATGTTCCACTTCCTTTACTTGTCTCTGAGTTCAACTTTGCTTTGCATGCATAGAAACCAGTAACAGAGCCATGGTTAGCAGGCATGATGTGAACGTTGAAACTCTTTGCCCACGTTTGATTCACCGTACATTTCAAGCTGATGCTGCTGTTCTTATAGACAGTTTTTTCTCTGCCTGATTCATCTGTTTGGTTATACCAGATTTCAAGATTTGATTGTGGTGATTTACACATCGTGGTAGCTCTGCAAGTTACATCAACAGGTTCGTTGATAAAAGCGATCTGAATTAAGGATGTGTCTTGTAGACTGAGATGTTCTGCTAAATTAAAAAAAATGTTTTTCATAACTTTACCCAAGAACTTGACAAAACAGACAATTAGATTGTTGCTTTTATATCTATGAATTTTAACATGTATCCTGAATACGAAAAGAAGATAAATATCACAACATGTAAATTCATTGATAAGATGACAAAATGGTAACAGTTAGACGGTTTATACCACAAATAACTGCAGTCAAATTAAGCACCAGTTCATGATACAATCTAGATTATAGTGTTAAAAATAAAAAAATCTGACCTCTTTCTTTGGTTTATTGATTCTCATGTGAATTCTTGCAGAAGTCTCAGATTTAAGTGCTTAAAAATTCAGTTCACTAAGACAGATAAGGAAACTTTAAGCAGTTTCTTTCTCTCTGTTGTAGAATAATAATGTTGGAAAGACAGCAAGAGTCATCCAGTCCAGCTTTCCTTCTTTCACCTAATACACTTCTGAGAGACTTATTCCTCAGTCTGCAGGATGTGAGTGTGTATATCTAAAAGTAGATAATCAGGACGGAATGGGGATTCTGTTGCTGTATCACCCACCCCACTACCTTCCTGAGCTAGCAGAGATGGTCACGGGTTTGATGTTGGAGTCTTCGCAGCTAGTAGTTCTGCCATTCACACTGAGACTCTGCTGTCAGGAGAAGTTTAGGATTTCATAGCCTCGGTGTCAACCATGATTCTTCCCTAACTGGTATTTGGACTTAATCATACTTTTGGGCACATTCTGGACATTGTTTTCTGTGATAGGATGATGATGATCATGCTGTGGTGATCATGGTGTGGTGGATTTAGACCAGTGGTTCCCAACCTTTTTTTGACCAGGGACCACTTTTACAGGGACCACTCTCCATCATTAATATCAAAAGGGTTACGAATCAGTTTTTGGTCAACTTTAGATTCGGTTTAGTTATTTGGGGTACTGATTCAGAAAACTGCATTGGATAGACCACATCAGCTCTAGTTTCTGACACATAACATATACCATCCAATAATCGCCATCTGCTCATCCACAGAAAACCATATTAATAAGCCTAGGCACTATAAGAGGGTTTCACAATACCAGCTGCTCTGGTTGCAACTGTGAGGTAATGGTGAGGCCATGGACCATATTTTAGTTCTTCCACAAACCACCCATTGGGAACCACTGATTTAGACTCCCTGGGACTTAGAACTACTGCAACAGTCAGAGACTGATTAAGATGGTCTGCCTCAGGAGGTTGATGGATCCAGGTGGAGTCCTAATTATTCTTGATCCTTTCCTGTCACCTTGGCAGACTATTCCATTGAAGCTCTGTCTAATAACTGGAGTGAAGAAATGGCCAAGCAGAGCTGAACTAACAATTACCGGTAGGAAAACAGCACATGTGTAGAACATCAAGGGAAGAGGCAATCCATAGAGATTTTCCATTGCCAGATTTACCTTGGACCATATGGTGCAAAACTGCAAATGGTGCAGCTGAACTAGGTTCCACAAAAAGAGGTTCCCACAAAAGAATAGAAGACTTTGTAGTTCAAATATAAAGTGGAAGTATACAAAAATAAATATTCTTTTCTTTCTTACAGTAAGTTTTGTTTCACTTCTAAAAATATTTTGAATTAGCAATATATGGGAGCACTGGATGTTTTAAGTGCTTAGGGTCTCTTAAGGTCTTAATTCAGCTCTCTGGCCAGGGCAGGGGACACAATCTTTCCTGAGTGTTCCAACTTACAGTATGATTTTTCAGGAAGCTGCTGGTGATGAAGCAAGAAACCAGAGCAATGTTGGCTTACTTCATCGGTCAGTGGACTGAGGTCATACAGGAATTTCTCAGCACCTTGACATGATGGATCTGGTTATGATGATACATATCTTACTTATCCTCCTTTTAGATTATTGTAGTGCATCTGGGGCTGCCTTTGAAGAGTGTTCAGAAACTCCAGCCTGTGCAAAGACTTGCAGCCAAAATTTTAACTGGGGGTGACTGCAAGGATCACATGCCTCCTTTGCTGCAACTGCTTCACCGGCTGTCAGCTTGTTTCCAAACACAATCCAAAGTGCTAGTTATGACCTATAAAGCCCTGTTTAACTCAGGTCCATTTGACAGTTCATATCTCCTTGTATGAGCCAGACTGGGCTTTGAGATCATCTGTCTCACCACCATCACGTGAACAGTTGGTAAGGATGTGAGAGATGGGCTTGTCAGTGTCTGCCCCTGGACTCTGGAACTCCCTTCTTCCCATTGGCCTATCGGTGAAAATGTTTTCTTCAGACAGGATTTTAAAACCATGTTTATAAAGAATGGGCTATTGAGTGCTTCATTGTTTTAAGTTCAATTGTCTTTAAGTCCAGCCTATCTGGAACTCTGTGTCCCCCTATACATTCCGGGTAGCGTGCTGAGATCTAGTGGAGAGACCCTCATTGTTACTCAAGCCCTTTCCAACCTGCGTTTGCATAGAACCAGAGAAGGCTCCTTCTCAGAAGCAGAACCAGCACTTTGAAATTCCATCCCAGAAGAATTAAGAGCTGCCTACATCCCTATTAAGCTTCCAGAAAGGGGCCAAGACCTTTCTATTTAAAAAGGCTTTTAACTGGATGATAGGGTGGAGTTCTAAGGTGTTTGCCTGTATATGAGGGGGCTGGTTCGGGGAGGCAGTAATTGATTTTATTGAATATATGTTTTTACCAAGTTTTTACCTTTGAATCTATATTTTAACATTTGAATTGTGTGTTTACACATTGTAAGCCACTTTGGGTCCACTTGCAGAGACAGGCGGGGTACAAATATTTTAAATAAATGAATTTAACAGCCTGTTATTTATTTTAATTGTATTCTAACTGAATTGTATTAATAATTGTAAATACTTTAACTCTATTTCAATATTTTAATATGCTTTTAACTGTATTGGTTTGATATTATGAGCTGATTTGGGTCTCAATCTTAGGAGAAAGATGGGGTATAAATAAAAATCAATCATGAAATAAATAAATAACATAAGGAAATGCCTTGTAAGTGATAGACAGTAGAGAAAGCTGGCAAAGTGCAATTTGGCCTTGCAATGACCTGTGACCTCTTTGCACGGGCTTCTTTTCGATGGTGACAACAGGGTTTTTCAAGTTCAGCCACAGAGCCGAATGGTTACTATCACACCCATTATAAGTACTTCCGAGATGGCGCCATGGCCAAAATGGGGGGAAAAACACCCACCGCTGAAAAGAAGCTGGCAGTGCATGACGAGAGGCTTCTTGTCCTTCCATAAGGAAAGACAATTTGAGGCGGCTTACCGACCCTTTCCCCTGTCTGATGGGATAGAGGGGAAGTCGGGACAGTGTGAGGTGTGGGATGACTATTCCCCCCTGGGCAGGCTTATGGGTTGGAAGTCTCTGTTCCCAGAGATGAAAATTGGCCCTTTTGACCTGCTCCAATTGCCCTATGCTTTTCTGGTGCAGTGATGATAATGGTTCCAAATATACCAATTGCTGTCACACTATCAAAAGGCATTAAAACAGTGGCCTTTTGAAATGTACGATTACTTTCCTAATGCGTCCAAAAGTAGAATTTGAGACCATAACAAACGGGAACAACTTGGTCAATATTTTTCTTGAAATTTGGAGTGGAGGCAACAGCTGCGAATGGACAGAAACAGAAGGAAGCCCTGTGTACCAGGAGTGTGAGGTGGCAAATCTCCATTGCTTGCAGCATACAGGGCGTCTGACTTACATACAAATAGAATTTAAGAACAAACCTATCTTGTTCTTAATTTGGGGACTGCCTGTAGGTAAAGGTAAAGGTTTCCCCCTGACATTGTCCAGTCATGTCTGACTCTGGGGGTTGGTGCTCATCTCCATTTCTAAGCTGAAGTGCCAATGTTGTTCATAGACACCTCCAAGGTCATGTGGCTGGCATGACTGCATGGAACACCATTACCTTCTCGCTGGAACGGTACCTATTGATCTACTCACATTTGCATGTTTTCAAACTGCTAGGTTGGAAGAAGCTGGGGCTAACAGCGGGAACTCATGCCGCCCCCCGGATTCGAACCTGTGACCTTTCGATCAGCAATTTCAGCAGCTCAGTGGTTTAACCCACTGCGCCACCAGGGGCTCTGGGGACTGCCTGTAGTGGTTATTAATTTGTATCCCCTCTTTGGTAGTTTTCTCCTTTCTTTCACTTCTTGTACTTGTCTCTTTGAAATCTCTGCTCACCTAAAATTGTATTTATCTACCTTAAAATCCCCACCTTTTTTCCTCATAGGATATCAATCCAATGTACTTATACATTGTACTTGTCCAGTTATACTTTCAATATCTCACATTTATGGAGCTCCCACCCACCACGAACCTCCTTCTCTGAACGGTTCTGGATCCTGGGCGAGTGACCAGTATTTCCTAATTTCCATTTCCAAAAATGGAGGCTATTAACAAAATATGATTGTTTGTATCTTCAAGTATTATGGGAAATAGCCATCTGTGTAACCACAGACTTCCTCTTTCCCTCTCCCCCCCGGGTTTGTCTGAAATTCTGGTGTGTGGAAAGCAGTGGGCGGAAACAGACTGGTTACTTCGTTTGCAGGAATAGAGTATTACAGTCCAACAACAGAAAGACAATAGGAATGGGAAGCGATTCTCAAAAATGACTATTTTGTATAGCATAGCATCTATTTTTATCTCATTCTGCAGGATACATTAAGTAGGTCGATGCTCAATGTGTGTTACTTGCCAGTGCTCTGTGAGGCTGTGTACTAATGGAACTCCTGTGGGTCTCTTCTTACGTACTTTTTTTGAAGATATCTCACCACCGTAAATACATCAAAGGGCCACAGAAGGATTAGTTATTCATTTCCAATTATAAATCCATAAACAGCGCCTAACAGGAATCCAAGGACGTGTTCACTGAAATCATTATCCCATTCTACTTATAAAAAACAAATATTTTCTTGGAATTTCTAAACTCATAGTGAAGAGTACATGAAGTAGGTCAGCCTTTAATAATCTGGGGGTGAGTGGGGGTAATAGTATTAAAGTTGACACCTATGTCCATGAACATAATTCCACAAAGCAGGGGAGAGTAAGTTGTACGAATGAACCTGCAATATTGTCATGTACAATGTTATATCATGTACAACACAGGTAAGTTACTATGCTACATACACATACAGGAGAGAAAAGCAAAATGAGGTGTGCTTTCAGTGACCCTGAGAAAAGTGTTATTCGGTTTTTTAGAAATACTCAGGCAGTCCCTAAGTTACAAACATCAGACTTACAAACCACTGAGGCAACAGGAAGTGAGAGAAATCTACCCCTAGGAAGGGAAATTCCAGTTTAAAAAAAATCTAATTCCCATAAGGACAGAAATTGTGATAAAATCTTCTGAACAGGTACAGACAGCAAAACAAACACCACAGGGGTGTTAACCCTTCCCTATGCGCATATATATACAGAGAGAGAGAGAGTATGTGTGTGTGTTACACTTAAAAATGTACCTGTTCTGACATACATAAAAGTTCAACCTAAGAACAAATCTACAGAACCTATCTTGTTCATAACTTGGGGGCTGCCTGTACTGAGCTCTGTCACTAATCCTAACCTTAACCCAGCAGAAATAGTAATTAGTTAAAAGTATCAGCTGGGTGTTTCTCTTCATATCTGAACTCTACAGCTAATTCTTTTTATACTTTTACTATTTAGGAGCCTCCAGTGGCACAATGGGTTAAGCCCTTGCGCTGGCAGGACTGAAGACCGAAAGGTTGGAGGTTCAAATCCGGGAAGAGCATGGATGAGCTCCCTCTGTCAGCTCCAGCTCCCCATGTGGGGGCATGAGAGAAGCCTCTGACAAGGATGGTAAACATCAAAACATTCCAACGTCCCCTGGGCAACGTCCTTGTAGACGGCCAATTCTCTCACACCAGAAGCGATTTGCAGTTTCTCAAGTCATTCCTCACACAAAAAAACAAGCAAACTATACAATGCTTGTTTTTTTGTGTATACAATGCAATTCAGTATACAATGCCATTCAGTACGGAGTTTCTCTACTGCTGCTGAATAATAGTGTTACTTGGCAGTGTAATATAATGGTTTGAACACTTAACTACAAATCTGGAGATCAGGGTTCAATTTTCCAGCTCATCTATGACAATGTACTGAGTGAACATGGGCAAGTTACGTATTCTTAACCTCAGAAAACCTTGTGATAGTAGTACACAAGTCACCATAAGTCAAAAGCAATATGAAGGCACACAACAGCAAATAATATTATTGAGGACTACAGACTTACAGCATTTTGCCTTGAATATTTACTTATCAATAAATTATGTTTAATTTAATGGAACTTGTAGTCAGGCAAGTAGGTAAAGGATTGAATCATTAGGTGATAATTGTTCCCCATCCTCATCCCTACCTGTAATATGGAGGCTTGCCTTGTATGATCTTTTTTTTCTGAGCAATTGCTCTTTATACAGAGTAAGAGAGAGTGCATTTACATCATTGATCAGTTGCAGCACAAATTCATGATCTGCCACATATCAGGTGTCAGGCTTCACACTATATAAGCAGCTGCTGTTCTTTACAGGGTTTTACATCACCATTGTTTATTAAAGGAATAGGAGAAACAACATTGTAAATGGAAATTGCAGAAACCTCAAAAGGCCAAACTGTTTAGCCATATTAGAAATACTAGTACTGTAGTATTTTTTTACTACACTGAGATCTTAACAATTAAACACAAATCAGTTTTTAAAACCCTCCAATTAACTGGAGAATAAACTAAGCAATTATACCTAATACACACCTTAAATTTGTATTCAGTATACACTATATTCCATTTTAAAGTGGCATAATACTAACACTATACAATTAATTAAGGAGAAAAACAACAATACAGCATTGTTTAATATTTACGATTCATTGTTTGCATAGAAAGTCACACTTTGTACAGCAAGTTCTGAAAACTTGTAGGATTCTTGAATGGATTACTGGGGCAAATCATGCATATATAAAAGAAAGACAGAGGGAACATTTAGTAGGAAAGATGGAAACTAATGGTCTAAGACACTAGTTAAAAACTATTTACATAGTTAATACATACAAGAGTGAAGAGATTAAAGGAAAAAACTTTGTTTACCTGCACATTGAACTGTCCATAAAAGTAAAATCACAATGTATAAATGTGAGGGCATGGCAGCATCTGAAAAGAAAAAAAATATCTGAATGCTCTCCAGTTCTGGTCAAAGGGGTTCTTCTAAGAAATGGCCTCTCTGCGTGACAATTTTACTCTTCCTGTTTCTGGAGGGGAGGAGGGACAACTTTAGGAGGAACAACATTCTGATAGTTTGTTCCTTGTTCAGTCCTTTCTACTTTCCTCAGCATGTTCTGCTATGGAAGAAGAACAAGGCAAGGAAAAGAAACGCAGTGCCTTATTTTCCGCTACAGATCAGTAGTTACATACCTTTCCTTCTAACTTTGGTTTTACTGGTCTTTTGTTGAATGCTTCCAAGTAATTTCTGGATTCTAATGGCCATAAAGCAGTGTTTTTTTAGCATTTTTTTTGTTATTGAGGACCCCCAATCCCACCCCTAATAAAAAGGAGACATAGTTCAACTTTCATGGGAATTGTCGTTTCCCATAGAGGGAAGGACAGATGAACTGGAAGCTGCCTCTGTCTCCACGACCTCCATCGAGCCTCCACAAGAGCAGCAGCAGCTTGCACTCCATAGCCCCCACGCTCCCATACATGGACACCCACCCCCGGCTCAGATATTCAGCCTGAGCCAGTCCACACCAGCAAATCTCCAAGGCTTCCATGGAGATCACCCGTCCTGCTCTCTCCCTTCTCCCAGCCAAGATACAAACCAAATGGATAACATGTATCCAAAGGACCTCCATTTCCAAGCCACTGCTACTATGTATCACTCTAATTTTTTTTAATGTGGACATGCGGATGTGCACACGAGTGGGGGGAAGAAAATATAAACAAATAAGGCAAATTACTTTTTTATCTCTTCCCTCTCTATCAACCTATACCAAACATCACATGAACTTTAAAAAAAAATTATGTTGCTGTTTTTGTTGTTATTGTTGTTATTACTATTATTACTATTGGACTCTATGAAATGAAAGCAAATGTACATGAGCCCATGAACTCCAGTGACCTGTCTTGAGAAATTCCAGATACCCATTCCACACCCTGTGTGAGAACCGGAGATGGAATATAATCTATGGGACAAAGGACCTTTCTAGATCTCAGTGGGAGCCCATCTGCCCACTGCCAGGCAGTTCCTATTGAGGATCTCAGCTATCTGTGGGACAGAGGTCCAGGGTGAAACTTTGATGGTGATCCCATTAATGATACACATCTTTGGGACTCTTTGCCTCCCTAGCATAGGAAGATGGCTGAGACAAAAACCCGCATTCTCTTCTTTGACAGGGTTCTGTCAATCATATTTTGGATTTTTCTTTGTCTCCAGCATTCCATTGCTACACACTAGGGGTTGGTTTGACCCTTTGGGACCTCACTATCCCCAAGACTGCCTTCACCAGCCCACTGGAAGTTCTGGGGCCTCCCTGACCAGCTGGGAGGAGATTCCCAGCTACATCATCACCACTTCCTCAAATCATGGTGTGCACCGGCCAAGACCCACCTCCTGACCAACCAGGCTTGGGAGATACTGGGGGCTTCTCGGCACTGGCCAATCAGGTGAAAGGGAGGGAGTTTCAAAACATTGCAATGTTAATGCATGGGAATTCTTGTGTATAAAAAAGCCTGCTTACGATTATGCTTTTACACTTGTACCCTTTGAGCATCTGTGCTGTACGAGCATCCCTTTTGCACAAATTGAATAAAGTATCTGTTGCTTGCCTTCAACCAGGTGAGATTCCTGGTTCCAGTTCCTGATTCGTGACATCCACAGTTAGTAAAACTTCAAATTTCCTGCATCATTTTGTTCAGAGAAAGATTGCTATTTCCTTCCTCTCTGGTTAAAGAGTGTGACTAGCTCAAGGCCACCAGTGGTTTCCATAGCTGAGCAGAGATTCAAATCCTGGTCTGCAGAATTGTATTCCAATACTCAAACAACTTCACTATGCTGGCTAGAATTCCCAATTTTCCAGTGATCTTAGACTAAAGACCACTGCAACACATAGCTATACCCATTCGGTACAACTTTCAACAGTCACAACTTGATCCTAATTCATCTTGGGATTTATAGTATTAAAGAACATAACTTTTTAGAGAAGAGCCAAAGAAAACCTTTAGAGCAGAATCTCCTCTTGTAGTATGCAAGAATCTCCTCTTGTAGTATATACAAGGAAATGGTTTCAGTTGCTAGACTGAACAACGAGCAATCTCTGATCTGTCAGGAAAAACAGAGATTTTCCAGTGTATAAAAACAGCAGAGCCCCAAAAACTATTCTCCCATAAAACAACTTGTTTCATATCATGCACTCAAGAGACAAAAATTAAGTAGACTTTGATGGAAATAACATATTTGGTTTACTAGCAACTTTCATGTGATCAGCATACACGGGTACAAAAAACTCAATCAGTCCAGTTTCAAATATCTTTGAGATGTTCCCATTGCCAGATGGCCAGGGCATCTCTCTTGTAACAAAACAGCTATCAACTGGTCACATAGTCAAAAGGACAGAAAAGAAAGCATGTGATCTGCAACCCCTTTTATAACTTCTCAGAAACCTTACAGTAAAGGAAGCTGCACATCAGAACATACGTTCAGAAAACAGTAAGCAACAAGATCATAGATGAGCAGATTGCTAGAGAAACTTGATGAAGGTTGTCATTCCCAATATAGAGTTTAGTGAGGAATTTATAATATGCTGTTAGAATGCTTTGAATTGCTCGGTATGTCCTGAGAAGAGCTACTGAATCTTAAATCAGGGTAGCCTGAAAAACACTTCAAGAGCATACAGTAGAGATCTCTAGCGTAGAATTCTTAGCACCATATTAAACTATAAACTGTAGCATTCCTTTGGACAGCACCATGATTATAAAAATGATATCAAACTGATATAACTCTTTAGTAAAGATGTACTTAAGACTGTCAGGTTTAGAATATATTATTTCTAATTGAGTTACAAAGCTTGGGGAGGTTGGTCATAGAGTGGTGGTGGTGTACATAGAGATTTCTAGAGATAACGTATTAATCAGATCTGCAAATAATCAAATTATCCAAAGATTAAACCAATGTGAAGGGCCAACTGCACCATAGTCTGGTGCATTTCAACATCATGTAGCAATGAAAAGCCAAACTGAATATGCTGCAAGATCAAATCCCAGTCTATCAAAGAAAACAAACACCCCCCAAATCTGAACATGAAGATATTCCTTCTCAGATACAGTTGCCTGCACTGGTTTACATTAGAATTAAGATTATCATTGTTCCTCTTATGACTAAAAGGTGGCTGTCAGAACACTTGGAATCTTAATGTAGAAAGTTACCATAGCCTGTAACTAGTTGTGACAGGATGGAGTGGGGAATGTAAAGGTATATTTCATAAGTAATATAATGACTAGCACTAGATCAGCTTTACTGGTGTAGAATTTCTACTTACTTTTCAAAAGCATTTTAGAGGCATTTTTCAAATTTTATTTCATTTTCTTATCAGGACTCAGTCTTTTACCTCTCAGAAAAATAACAGAAAGTAACAGAAAACATAATGAGATACAGTTTTAGCATGTTAACAAGTAAAAAGTAACCAGTTACTTTTAAAACATTGTGATGTGTAACAGGAACTGATTGCTTTCAAAAAGTGACATTCCAAGCACTAAGACTAGCTTCACCTAAATTCTGATAGTGGAAATGGAATAGATCTAAAATATTCCAAAAGACCTTGCAAAATACACTCACAAGGTGGTGCTGTATGACAGCCAGTGTAGAAGTCTTTGAGGCACTAACTGTGTTGTTATAATAAACCTATATTATTTCTTTCAGTCATGGAAATTCAGGGTGATCTTTTTGTAACAAAATAACGGTTTATCTTTTTTTAAATCCATATGCTAAATATTTCTCCTCACCCCATCCTTTTCATCTTTGGTTCTATGCAGTGCGGTCACATTCAGATTTAGATACAATTGGAGTAGTCATTGTCAGACCAAATACAGGCCCATGCCTTACTCCATCAGCTAAGCTTAAATATTCCCTCCATCAATTTTGGATCTGAATGGGACACAATTTCCATCCATTTCTTTGGAAATAAAGAAATTTGCAAATGAAAGTTACCAGTCATCAATACTCTAGTTCTCATATTTAATCGTATACCTAAATTGAAATTACGCTACCGTATATACTGGAGTATAAGTTGACCTGAATATAAGCCGGGACACCAAATTTTAACTCAAAAAAAACTGGGAAAACGTATTGATTTGAGTATAAGCTGAGGGTGGGAAATGCAGCAGGGGCGGGGGGCAATTACTCCAACTAGCCAAAATCTGACTGGCAACCATCACCAAGAGCACCTTTTCATCGGCCGCTCCACAACTGTAGAATGACCTGCCAGTAGAGCTCTGACAGCTGGATCAGTTGTTGGAATTTAAGACCTATCTCTTCCAGCAAGTCTGCCCAGACAGTTTTAATGATGAATTTTAACACTGTATGCCTAATTTTTGTTTTGTGGAAATATGTCTTAATATATGTATTTTATGGAGTGTTTAAAATGATTGTGTTTATGTTTTAATAATGCTGTAACCTGCCTCTAGCTGTGAGGAGAGGTGGGCAAGAAATAAAACTATTATTACGATTATTATTATTATTATTATTCTAAAGTAGAACATAATTGATTATCTGGACTGTCTTATTTACAATATGCTACGTGACCCAAGGAACGTCTGTGGTCATATAAAACTCTTACCTTTTCTGACTCTTGCCTTCTTTGTCCTTAACTTCAAATGTCTAACTTCACAGGGACTCTTCCTTTTTCTAATATTTTCTTTAAGTGGTTAGGCTATAGTCACTGAGGCATGTTACTTCTGCTACATTCTGCTGAGGGAATTTGTTTCTTAATGGATTCAATTTTCATATTTATTTTCCAAAAGGGTCAATACCTTGGGATAGACCCCATTTTCCTCACACATATGAATGAGAAAACTCCAAGATCCTTGGTCAAAACTTAAGTTGTTCTGCTCAGATCTTGCAATCTCAGGATTGTGGCTTCCTTGATCTCTAACATGGTCTTCCTCTTTTTCTTTCTTACCATTATTACCTTTTCTAACAGGTCATGCCATTTCAAGATATATCCATAGTACTTATTTTGATTTCTAGTGAGATTTCAGACCTGTTTTGCTAGGACCCATTCATCTTTTCAGCAATCATATCTGTAGAAGTCTCCTCCAGCACCATATTTCAAATGTGTTGATTTTTTCGCCATCAGCTTTCTTTGCTGTCCATCTTAAACACCAGTACGAAGATTTCCGAATTACTATAGCATGGATGATTCTGACAGTGGCATTCAGTGATGAATCTCTGCCCCTGAGTATCTTATCTAGTTCTTTCATAGTTACTGTAGTTTTCTTCTGATTACTTAACTACCATCTCCATTTATGAATTATGACTCGGCAAACAAAAATAATGTATTTAATCATAATCCCATTTAAATTTATGTAAATAATGTGTTCATTATTTTTATTTTCCTAATATTCAGCTGTAACACCACATTTGAACTTTCTCCCTTAACTTCCATCTATACTAATTCCAAGTCAAAAATAAATTCTGCAAGTAATGCATCATTTACATATATTTAATCACTGGTGCTATTTTTCCCAATTTCCATGCCTTCTCCTGGTCTAATTCTCCTTTCTGGGTTTTTTTTTTTTTGCATAAAAATAAAAGAGATGGGATCATAAGGTGAATCCTTGCCAAACTCCATTATCAAATGGAAACAATTCTGTTGCTCCATACTTTGTCCTGCCAGTGGCCTCTTGTCCATAATGATTGTGAAATTACAGGACCATCAGACATTGTGGAACACCAGTTACTTTTAGAGCACACCATAATTTCTCATTATGTAAACACTCAAAGTATTTGGTGTAATACGTATTCTTCTAATATTGTCTGATACATTCTATTATCAACATATGCTTGTAATATGATCCTTATTAGCCTCTTCCTTTTCTCAACCCAGTTTGAACATCTGGCAATTTTTGCTCCGTATATGATAAAAATCTTGCTTGAAAAATATGATAATGCGATGCTGCCCCAGTCTCCTTTCTCTCCTTTTTTGAGAACCAGAACATTTATAGCGTGTATACTGAATTTTGAGAATCAGAAAATTTATTGAGTGTATACTTGAGTTATGTGAGCCGAGGGAATATAGTTCGTGCTCCTCAGGGCATTTATGTTGGGAATAAAATACATTACAGGTAAAAATAAAAAAAATAGAGGGTTCTCTCTTATTGCAGATTTACTAAGTCGTATGATAAACATTTGTAACGCCTTCTTTGGAGCCAGCGTGATTCAGGAGACCAGGTCTCAAACCACTACTCAGCCATGAAAAGGCACTGAGTGACCTTGGGCAAGTCACACTCTCTCAGCTTCAGAGGAAGGCAATGGCAAACCCCCTCTGAACAAATCTACCAGGAAAACCTTATGGTAGGTTATCTTACAATCATACATTTGGAAACAATGTGAAAACACAAAAGAGGAGGACAATACACACACACACACATATGGATTAAAAATTATAAGACAATGAATAGGTACATAAACACATGGTCCTGTGCCTCATTTCGGGCATATCCAGACTGATAGGGAAGTCCTAGATTTTGTTATTTTATACTGGATTAAAATAGCCTGGCCTTGGGGACTGTTATAAAAAGAATCTGAAAGTACTAGGAGCTGATGGAAATTATTTTTGGCGAAAAAAGTGCACATGGATCTCCAAAATAAAATTGGAAATAACAGGAACAAAACCTGTGCGTTTCTGGTCTTTTTAATCACTGTCAATGTGCCCATTATTAATTTATTCTGGGGTGGTTCCAATTTCCTCTACTTTTGTACAGCCTACTCAATAACTTGATTGGAAATTTAATATAGGGTGATACATGAAACGTGGCTACTTACTTCAAAACATTTTGTCTCCACCTACCACCTCTTCCAGCTCCTGCTTTCCTTGATATATAGCTTGATTACTAGTTCAAGAAAACTCAGGAGCTAGCTTTCTATTTTGTAAGATTTTAGTTGACCCCAACAAAGATATGAATGCTAACCACAGTATCAGTACCATTGTACAAATTGAGATATGATACGAACTTTCCTCCCATGAACATAGGGCAGCATGTACGGCTGTCTCTCTCCCTTTCCCCCTACAACAGTGCTGCGAGGTGGGCCTGGTTGAAAGAGAATTAGAGAATTACTAACCAAAGGTCACCTGGTATGTCCTTTGGCAAAGTGCAGATTAGACCCTAGTTCTCCCAAGTCCCAGGGCTCTTCCATACAGCCCAGTATCCCAGAATATCAAGGCAGAAAATCCCACAATTTCTGCTTTGAATTGGGTTATCTGAGTCCACACTCAGATAATGTGGAATTTTCTGCCTTTATATTCTGGGATAGAGGGATGTGTGGAAGGTCCCTCAGAATATCAAGACAGGAAATCCCACAATATCTGCTTTGAACTGGGTTATCTGAGTCCACACTCAGATAATGTGGAATTTTCTGCCTTTATATTCTGGGATAGAGGGCTGTGTGGAAGGTCCCCCAGAATATCAAAACAGGAAATCCCAAAATATCTGCTTTGAACTGGGTTATCTGGGTCCACACTGCCTTATATTCCAGCTCAAAGCAGATAATGTGGGATTTTATTCAGTTGTGTGGAAGAGGCCCCAGTTGGTCACTACATATTGGCTTTTCTTCTGCTGATAAGACAAGCCATCTCCAGCAAATAGAATGCAGAATGAATGGAATGTTATAACTAATATATCTCTGTATAGGCAGGAGTGAAAGAGACTATGCATTTTTCAAGTACTGTAATTAATTCTGTGCATTATTGAAAATAAAGTTGTCTTTCTATATTTCACACCCATCCCACATACACAGACCCGTATCTCTTCAGATCCACAGATCAGCATTCAATCTCCAAACAAGCAATACTGCAGCATTAATCACTAAAATAGAACTAAATATTTCATCAGGAAAGACTCATGGGTATTGGTTTAGGCATCAAGAACATTGACCGGCATTGTTCCTCTTGCTCAGTATAATATTGGCTGAATTCAAATATGGAACAAGCTGCCAAGGAAGAGAAATTATCTAGAAGTCAGGGAACATTCAACTTTATCCTATAAAAAGAATTATCCATGGGTAGCTGTTTAAAGGAGCTTCTAAGAAAACAGTTAAAATAATGTCATATTTATTCAGCATATTGGCATTGTTGGCACTTTCATACTTTTTTCTGCCACACACAGTCTTTGCTATTTGTCTGTTCCCAACAGGGAAGAAGATTCCAAGGACTGCTCTGTCCGAGGAAACCAGAAGCGATTAAGGTTTTACGGCAGAGCTCCTGCAGCATGGGTACCACCCTGAAGTCCCTGCAGAGGGGCTCAGAAAACACTAGACGGACTTTTCCCAGTTCATCACAGTAGAGAGGGGTGGTCCTGGCTCCTGCCACCACCAAGTCAAGAAGCCTTACCACACAGTCTGAGAACCAATGCTTCAGCCAAAAGTAACCCTTCTGGAAAGAGATCCGGAGGCTGACAGGTCCAGATGGTATGCGAACACTGAGACTGAAGAGGCAATTTCCCTGAGAGCTGTCTCGCAAAAGATAGGTCCCCACTGGTTCTTGCAGTAATCTAGCATGAGCCTCCTGCACAGACAAGGCCCCCCAGTAAAACCTACTGGCCTGCAGGAGGCTGAGTGTGTGCTCCACAACTTCCCACTCATCATCACGAAATGTCTGGTAGCGAGATAACAGTCTGCTTTTTGTCAGGGTGAGATGAGGGTCTTGATACTGTGTCTGTACAGAAGAAAAGTTGTTGAGTTTGCTCATCTGTCTTCCCCACTTTGATCGACTCTCAGAGAAGAACCCATGGATCAGAGGAAGATGCTATTTCAAGCTATCATTATCTTCAGCCCTGGGAAAAAGAATATAAATGAGAGGTTAAGGACTATTACATCAGCAAAAGAGAAAGATTAAGTTAAGGTAAGCAAAGGCATATAAAAGCTAGAAGCAACAGGTCAAACTAAAGCTACAAGAAACAAGAAAAATGGGGAGCATTATTGCATGACTTCACTCCCTTTCATAAGATCCACAAGTGTTTCAGAGCACTGCCCTATTTTCACCCAGAAACTGTTATTAGAAATTGCTTTGCAACTTAAGACGTTCCTGGAAACTGTAACAAAAATATGTCTAGGAATGGCAATTGCATTTTAGAATTCAAATTGTTTTCTTCCCAGTTAGTTGGTACGGATAACAGCCTCAATTCTTTTAGCATTGCCTCAAAAATAAGCAAAAAAGATGATTCATAAATTGCCAGTTCTAGAGGAACCCAAGAACTGTCACGAGTCATGTGGCAAGTCATAAATACTATATGTAACAAACCCTGAGTTGTAGGATAATGGTTCTGTATGGTATATCATAAAGACACAGGTGACGTCATCCAGAAAGGCAGCAGTGATATTTTTATCAAGGGTGAAACCAAAAAATAACTCTCAGGTTTCCTTTCAGGAGTTTTTACAAGAATATGTTATAGGTTCTACCTTTTTCAAAACCATCCCTTAGCTTATAGAAGTGTTGTTTGCTTAGTTTGGTTCTTATGTTGTCTCTGCTTTCTCCCATTCAGCTAGAGTAGCGGTTCTTCAAGTGTGCTCTGAGGAGCCCTTGCGGCTCCATAAAACATACTGAGGGACTCTGTGTTTACCTCCCCCTCCAAGCTTTCCCTCCTCTTTCCTGCTCCTCCCCCTCCCACCTTCCTTGCCACCAAAAGCCTTTTTTCCTCGCCTTCCTCACTACCCAGATACTTTCCTCCTTGCCTTGCTTGCTTCCAAAAGGCTATTTCCCTCTCACCACCCAGGGGATGCTTAGATTATGCCTTTCCTGCATGGTAGAAAGGAGTTGAAATGGATGGCCCCTGGGGTTTCTTCTTCTATTGTTGTTGTTGTTGTTGTTACAAAGGCTGGGTGGCAATCTGTTGGGGGTGCTTTGATTGTGTTTTTACTGCATGGCAGAAGGGGGTTGGACTGGATGGCCCCTGGGGTTTCCTCCTATTACTATTTTTATTACTTATCTCTATGTATTTGATGAAGTTGACCAAGTCTACTCGTGCTACCATTTTTTTCTCTTGATTAGTCTCAAAGATGCTCCAGGGTCCCTTCGCCCACAATCATTTGATTAGCTACTGTTGTAAATAAGAGCACTGGGTTAGATGGACTTGATCAGGAAAAGCAATTATTTGCTCTGGAGAATAAACACAGATAAAAAAAATTCTCAGAAAAGATTACTTAAACCACATTAAGTAAGCTATGTCTACAAGCTTCAAATACAGGAAATGATACTGACCATACAGAGCTGAGACAGAATGCGAGAGATTTAAAATCTGCTATAAAACAGACATAAAGACAAGCTTTACCTATTCAAGTCAACCATCCAGTAAAACAAACTTCAGAACACAAAAAGACAATCTTATACATAGCCTTTGGGCATTAAGTGTTCAAGTAGCAACATGAATCAAAGAGAAACAAAGCCAGCGTATTAATCGTGCTCTAAAATTAAATAACATCATAGGGAATGGATTCTTATGCAGACAATAAACATTTCAAGCACAAATAAAAGTTTTCCTACATCAGATCATCTAGTCCAGTAGTGTAATTCAAGTTCCTAGAGAATGCTTATTATGTTTTAGGAATGCTCTCGTGATGCCTCAGGAAAAAAGATGGCTTCGCTAGAGCTTAATAGAGCTTGGCTCCTTCCTTGAAAGCCTTTCAAACGATTTCAATTTGCAGTCAATATCTACAAACCAGAGCAGCTTAACATCACTTTTTTGTGAGCAAATAAGCATTTTCATCTGGAAATGATGAGGTTGGGTCTTTAAAGTTTATTTTGAAACATATTTTCACCTCTAAATTATGCAAAGAACTAAGCTTGCTATCCAACGCCTACATACCTAAAGTGGGCTTCATCAGTCTTGTTACTGAGTTAAATGCATATAGTATTAAACTGTGGGCCCTTCCAGACAGGCCCTATATCCCAGGATCTGATCCTAGATTATTTGTCAGTGTGGTCTCATATAATCCATCTTAAAGCAGGAAACCTGGGATCAGATTCTGGGATATAGGGCCTGTCAGGAAGGGCCCTAAGAAATCAGTTCCCATTGCAGAAGAAAATGGGTATGGAGAAAACTATATATGAACTGGGACTCTGCATGGCAATTTGCTCTTCAACAAAATAAACCTCCTACAGAAGACACAAGGAGAAAACTCATCTAATTGGGTCATTCAAATTCAACTTGACAATTCCTAGATTATATACATACAAAAACAAGTGTGCTATATTCAAATTGCCTTACTGTATAGCAATGTGTTTGATAATCTACATTGTGTAGACTAAGAAGCAACTACAAACACTAAATAAATAGGTTCTTGTGGGTTTTTTCGGGCTATAGAGCCATGTTCTAGAGGCATTTCTCCTGACGTTTCGCCTGCATCTATGGCAAGCATCCTCAGAGGTTGAGAAGGTCTGTTGGAAGTAGGAAAAATGGGTTTATATATCTGTGAATGGCTGGGGTGGGGCAAGGAGCTCTTCCCTGCTGCAGTTAGGTGTGAATGTTTAGCTGATCACCTTCATTAGCATTTGAAGGCCTGCCTGAGTCTGGGAAAATCTGTTGCTGGGAGGTGTTAATCTGTGCCTGGTTTTTTCCTCTCGGTTGTTTAGCTGTTATAATTTTGAGTTTTTTAATACTGGTAGCCAGATTTTGTTCATTTTCATGGTCTCTTCCTTTCTGTTGAAATTGTCCACATGCTTGTGGATTTCAATGGCTTCTCTGTGTAGTCTGACATGGTGGTGTTGGTCAACGGAACCACTGATCGCATAGGGAAGCTGATGAGGAAACACAACATACAAACAATCTACAAACCCACCAAGAAAATCCAACAAATGCTACGTTCAGCAAAGGACAAGAGGGATCCTCTCACCTCTGCAGGAGTCTACCGTATACCATGCAGCTGTGGACAAGTCTACATAGGGACCACCAAACGCAGCGCCCAAACACGAATCAAGGAACATGAAAGGCACTGCAGACTACTTCAACAGAGAAGTCAGCCATAGCAGAGCACCTGATGAACCCGCCTGGACACAGCATATTATTTGAGAACACAGAAATGCTGGACCACTCAACAACCACCATGTCAGACTACACAGCGAAGCCATTGAAATCCACAAGCATGTGGACAATTTCAACAGAAAGGAAGAGACCATGAAAATGAACAAAATCTGGCTACCAGTATTAAAAAACTCAAAAATTATAACAGCTAAACAACAGAGGGGAAAAAACCAGGCACAGATTAACACCTCCCAGCAACAGATTTTCCCAGACTCAGGCAGGCCTTCAAATGCTAATGAAGGTGATCAGCTAAACATTCACACCTAACTGCAGCAGGGAAGAGCTCCTTGCCCCACCCCAGCCATTCCACAGATATATAAGCCAATTTTTCCTACTTCCAACAGACCTTCTCAACCTCTGAGGATGCTTGCCATAGATGCAGGCGAAACGTCAGGAGAAATGCCTCTAGAACATGGCTCTATAGCCCAAAAAACCCCACAAGAACCTAGTGATTCCAGCCATGAAAGCCTTCGACAATACACTAAATAAATAAATAAAAGACAAGTAATAAGGTGGAAGAGTAAGAAGCACATTAGCAAAACAGTGAAAAATCTTTGGACATTGTAAAATCTAACACACAACAGGATCTAAACCAGGGGTCCTCAAACTTTTTAAACGGGGGTCCGGATTACTGTCCCCCAGACCGTTGGAGGGCCGGACTATAGTTTTTTTTTAAAAAAAAATGATGACCAAATTGCATATGTCCTATTTTGCTACTGTTATGAATTGTAATGTAAATATCTGATATGCATGATGTATTTTTATTGTTACAATCTGAACATAAAGCATGGTTTTAGCATTTCTGGAGATAAAATAGTTCCAATTAAAATGAGGAAAGCATTCTATTTTGTCTTTTTGAAAGTGGTTTTTGAAATATGTAAGCATGAGTCCCCTTTCAGGGGGAGAAGGGCAGGGTATAAATATAGGAAATAAATCTATATAAATAAAAATGTAATGTTCGTTTGTGGGATTAACAGAACTCAAAAACCACTGGATACCTAACAACCCAATGTATGTCCTTCACTCAAAAAAAATTGATTTTGTCATTTGGGAGTTGTAGTTGCTGGGATTTATAGTTTACCTATAATCAAAGAACATTCTGAACCCCATCAACGATGGAATTGAACCAAACTTAGCACACAGTTCTCCCATGACCAACAGAAAATACTGGAAGGGTTTGGTGGGCAGTGTCCTTTGGTTTTAGAGTTGTAGTTCACCTACACCCAGAGATCACTGTGGACTCAAACAAGGATGGATCTGGACCAAACTTGGCACTGATACTCAATATGCCCAAATGTGAACACTGGTGGCATTTGGGGGTTGTATTTGCTGGGATTTATAGTTCACCTGCAATCAAAGAGCATTCTAAACTCCACCAATGATGGAATTGAACCAGTCTTGGTACACAGAACTCCCATGAACAACAGAAAATACTGGAAGGGTTTGGTGGGCATTGACCTTGAGTTTTGGAGTTGTAGTTCACCTACATCCAGAGATCACTGTGGACTCAAACAATGATGGATCTGGACCAAACTTGGCACGAATATTCCATATGCCCAAATGTGAACACTGGTGGAGTATGGGGGAAATAGAATCTTGACATTTGCGAGTTGTAGTTGCTGGGATTTGTAGTTCACCTACAATCACAGAGCATTCTGAACCTCATCAACAATAGAATTGGGCCAAACCTTTCCAGAGCAGCGCGGGATGGAGAAGCCTGTGGAGGGAGAAGCGCTCTCTGCTCTCCCACGGAGAACAGAGAGCGCAGCAGAGTGGACGCCATTCATTCCTCTGTAACAGACGATCCCTGGTGGCAAGGAAGGTGTCCGCAAATGGTGGAGGAGGCGCCGGGTGGGCGTGGCCAGGCTTCCAGGACAGGGAAGCCAGCCGCTGGCCACGCCCCCCCGGCGCCGCCTCCACCATTTGCGGACGCCTTCCTTGCCACCAGGGATCGTCTGTTACAGAGGAATGGCGTCCGCTCTGCTGCGCTTCTCCCTCCACAGGCTTCTCCTTCCACACGGGATGGAGAAGCCTGTGGAGGGAGAAGCGCAGCAGAGCAGATGCCACTGCTCTACCACAGAAAATCCCTGGTGGCGTGAATGGTGGAGGCGGCGCCGGGTGGGCGAAGCGATGCTTGCTTCCCTGGCCCCGGAAGCCTGGCCACGCCCACCCGGCGCCGCCTCCACCATTCGCGCCACCAGGGATTTTCTGTTACAGAGGAATGGTGCCCGCTCTGCTGCGCTTCTCCCTCCTGTGTGGAAGGAGAAGCCTGTGGAGGGAGAAGCGCAGCAGAGCAGACGCCATTGGCGGCGGCGGCGAGGGGCTTTGGACAGGCCGCGCGGCGAGGGGCTTTGGACAGGCCAGGACAGGCCGCGCGGGCCGGATAAAGGCCCTTGGCGGGCCGCATTCGGCCCGCGGGCCGTAGTTTGGGGACCCCTGATCTAAACCTTTGTGGACTTATTTATTTATTATTTTATTAATTTATGGCACATTCCATCTTTCTTCCAATAGATTCAAGGTAGCTAACAACATACAATATTGAAAAACAACAGATTAAAATGATACAAAGTAATTAATAACAGTTTAACTATAAGAGTTATTTTTAAAGTGATTAAACAATGTATAATTAAAATTCCATAAAAGGCCATATGCAAACCGTAAACATAGCACCACTGATGTGACCTGTCAAATAACCTGGACCTGTTAAGTCCACCTTACCATTGAATTACCTACCTGGAACTGCTCTGCAGCGATTTTCACTCCCATATTTCCCAAAAAAGTGAGGTCTATAAGAAACTCAGCCATCACTAAATATTACAAATATGGAAGTACTTCGGATTTCAAGCGGAAACCTCTCCCAAGTTCCCAAATTAAACATATACCTCTGTCTTTTTGTGTAAACAAGAAGACATTCCATAAATGGCTGTAAAGCAGATAGTAAATACTTGAATAATGGAGGGGTACAGGCTACTGAAATAATAAAAAAAATTGAGTACACTTCATCAGCTGCATCTGCTGAAATTGACTCTAGTCCACAAAATCATTCCTAGGCTTTAAGGTATCCTAAGATTCTGTTATTTTGACTATAGTGACCTAATATCGTATAGTTACTTCTATGAGAAGAAGCTTACTCACCATTCAACAACCGATCAAATGAACTACTTTAGTTGGAACTAGCCAACAAGATTTTAGCCTAACACAGCTAGCTTTTCAGAGAATGCATTATCAGGTACCTTGAAAGCAGTTCTTGGAAGTATGCTGACTCAAATCCATACTAAAGGGTCTTCCTGTTAACAGACTGTAATCTCTCCAAAAAGACTGAAGGGGATGCCGGCATGTCTTTAAACCAATAGAAAAAATGTATTATAGGTAATATCAGTGTTTTACAAAGAGGGTTGGGGGAAGGAACCACCTTCAAATGTGGAAGGGGTTTCCCCTTCAATTAGTGTGTATCTATTTAGAATATTGGGAGAGAATTATATATGATCAAGAAATTGTATTTTACAATGTTTCAATATGTTCAGCCATTTGATTTCAAACATAAGCATTATTATAAATGCAGTGGTGCAATGAGTTAAACAAGTGGCTATCAACTTGTGGGTCCCCAGATGTTTTGGCCTTCAACTCCCAGAAATCCTAACAGCTGGTAAACTGGCTGGGATTTCTGGGCGTTGTCGGTTAAAGCCTTGTGAAGGCTGAACTGCTGGCCTGAAGGTCGGCGGTTCAAATCCACAAGACAGAGTGAGCTCCCAATTGTCAGCTCCAGCTTCCCATGTGGGGACATGACAGAAGCTTCCCACAGGATGGTAACCCATCCAAGCGTCCCCTGGGCAACGTCTCTGCAGACGGCCAATTCTCTCACACCAGAAGCGAATTGCAGTTTCTAAAGTCCCTTCTGACACAATAAAAAACTATAACCACTAGCCATCTAGTCTTGGATAAGGCACTCATCTTAGTCCATGAAGTCATGTGCCATATCTGTTCTGAACAATCCAATCAGTTGTAACATGAGGTGTTCTGAGCTTCAAAAATAAGATAAAAGCAGAGCTTCTCCTAAAACAACATTCTTTCAGAATTTCTACCTTTGACTTTCATTTTATCCCACAGACATCAGTTTGAAAAACAGGAGTGCAGCAATCCTGGAGGTAGGTTACAATTCAATAGTATGATAGAGGAAAGCAGCTGACAAATAGCAGCAGAGGAGGAAATAATGAAGAATTTGCAAACAAATGAAGCCTGGCACTTGGGTATCTGGAAAAGAAGACAAAGGTAAACTTGAAGATTGCCACAAAGGGGATTTAATGAAAGAAGATATATGGGTGAGTTGTGTGATCCTTTTTTGAGGTGGGCTTCACGTGTGTGAAGATAGAGAAATGTTAAGAAATGTTAAGGTATATTAAACTGTATAGCCAAGTCTGATTTTTCATATGTTTAACGAGCACTGAATGTACACCCTTTTGTAAATCTTTTGCATATTTTTTCTTATTTTTTCTTTTTTCATTTGTCTTGTTTCCTATATGCACTATAAAACAATAAAAATTATTTTAAAAGGATAGAACATTATGAGAATATATGAGAATGCAGCACACAGGATTAGCATATTTTGTCTCTTAGTTTAAATCAGTGGTTCCAAGTGTTTTGGACTTCAACTCCCAGAAATCCCAACCATCTTACCAGCTGTTAGGAATTGTGGGAGTTGAAATTTAAAATACCTGGAGAATTAAAGGTTGGGAACCATTGGTATAAATTATAGGCAATTCTTCATCAAAGGCAATTGTTTACTTAATGTATGTTCTGATTGACACAAGTTTTGCAAAACTACAGTTACTTTTAAGAATACAAGTCTACTTCACAGTTTATTACTGCCTGGTCGCGAAATGAAAAAGAGGTTAAAGATAGCATACAATTATCACTTTTTGATCAAAATGTTCAGTTTATTTTAAAGCTGTATGCAACTACAGGAAGATTGAATGCTAATGTGTGGAACTGATTGAAAATTAAAACCAAAGACTCTCCCAAGCAGTTTTAGGATTATTTTTTTTACATTATCTGAAAAAAGCAACCATCTACTATATTTCTAATATTTACTTATGGGTATAAAGCACCATTTGAGACAGAAGATAAAATCAAAATGGCGTATTTTAAAGAACTGAAAAATATTATATCCAAATGTCAATATCCACAGAGGGAGAAACCATTTTCTATTTCATAGAAAATTTACGTGTACAGTCACTAGTATTACTTCTCTTCTGGACCAAATGCTCACCTATGTGTTGCATCAACGCATAGGTGAGAACACGCTAACAAGTCTATCAACACTAAACCAGATTCTTCTGCATTTTAAGATACAATTATGCTAAGCATTGCAATGACTTACAATGTTATTCCACCCACATTTTATTTTTTTCTGATTATGTAATAAAGAAAGGATTACTGAGATGACGACCTTTGAAAACCAGTGTTGGGAGTCTTAACCAGTCTGGAAAAATAACTTTACTAGGCTCTGCAGAGAACTGGTCTTCCCATGAATTCCCACTTGTAGAATTCATGTGAGGACTTTAACTACCATTGCTCAACACAGTGGAATCATGGGAGTTTCAGTTTTGCAAGGTCTTTAGAATGCTAGTGCCTCACCAAACTACAAATCCCAGGATTCCACAGCATGGAGCCATAGCAGTAAAAGTAATGTCAAACTGCATTAATTCTACTGTGCAGATGTACCTTTGGAATACAGTTATGTTCTCAAGTTTTAATACCCATGATTGATCACTTCCCACATGTTAAAAAACACCCAATTTCATGAGCACTTACTTCGCCATGTAGATCCCACTGAACAAAGAGAGTCATCCCAAGTAAATGTGTCAGGAACAAGTTATAAGAGTGCCATTAAATTGAAGTCCATTTGAATTTTCCAGATTTGGAGTCAGAATTGGTGTGAGTTGCCTACAAAGCTTTGCAGCCAAGGCTGGTCTGTAGGTACAGCCTGCAAAGCCAACATCTGTTCTTATTTAACCATTCCTGCAGTGCATCTCCTGGAGCTATTACAAAGAGAGAGAGAAAGAAAAGACGCCTTTGAGGTTAGCCACTGTTTCCTTCATTCGCTGTGTGACTCAGACAACCCATTTGAAACAGGCCTGGGTAACTAACATCAAATATTTCCTCCAGAAAAAGGAGGGGGGAGAAAAAGAGAGAGAGAGAGAGATACGCTTTCCAAACAATGGTTCCTGCGGCCACAGACCCCCTCCTGCTGATCTGATGCCCATTTCTTGGTTGTGAAGCTATCTGGGTGCATCTACACTGTGTAATTAATACAGTTTGACATCACTGTTAACTGCCAAGGCTCAGTGGTATGGAATCCTGGGAGTTTTAGTTTTGCGCCATCTTTAGCCTTCTCTGCCAGAGTGCTGGTCCCTCACTAAACCACAACTCCCAGGATTCTACAATATTGAGCCAAGGAAGGCAGTTAAAGTGGTGTCGAATTGCATTGATTCTACAATGTCGATGCAACCTTTGTCTGCCTTTTCACTGTGTTGAACTTCTGAAAAAGCTTCCAAACTCCCTCTCTTCCTTTGTCTGCAATTACCAAAAAGCACAAAAAATGCAGGCCAAGTACTCAGCCAAGGAGGGATCGGCTTGTAAAGCAGGCATGGGCAAACTTTGGCCCTCCAGGTGTTTTGGATGCCAACTCCCACAATTCATAACATCCGATAGGCTGTTAGGAATTGTGGGAGTTGAGTTCCAAAACACCTGGAGGGCCACAGTTTGCCCATGCCTGTTGTAAATCAAAAAGTTTGGGCAAAGTTTGCAAAAAGTAGTTCCACTCAATATACATATATGCAGGATATCCCAAAAATATGTCCACTTTTAACATCCTATAATATTCTGTATTTTATTTATTTACTTGCAATTCTTTTCGAAGAGTGTTTACATTAACGTTCTATAGTTATGGATTTATTTCCTTTCTGCAATTGTTTTGGGGGGGAATCCACTCTTAACCGTGTTGGACTTTATTTTAATTTTTCCCTTTTTAGAAAATGTCGATACACTTAACAGTTTATAATCCTGAAAAGTTTATTTTGTTGCAAACCCCCTTCTTCCTCCCAAATGCATGCATCCTTCATAGGATTAGATATTCCAAGAGTTGAACAAAAACTCCAGTTGAAACTTTTGGAAGAAAGTAAGTGAGCTCTGCAACTCCGGGCTTCGAAAATGGACTCTTTGAATACTTTACATAAAATTGCAAATTGACGAGGGAATATGCAACTCTTAATTAAATCGTTAGTATCACATTTATTCTCTAATATACGCGTATTTATTTACTTAGCCTTCAAATGATCAGCATCGATACAAAAAAAAATTGTATTGGGGAAGGGAAACATCCTATATACAGGAATGCAGAAAATGTACGTGTGTGTGTGTATGTGTGTGTGTGTGTGTGTGTGTGTGTGTGTGTATATATATATATATATATATATAGTACACGTTTTCTGCCTTCCTGTATATAGCATGTCCGAGATATTTATTTATTTATTTATTTATTTATTTAGAAAGATAGATAGATAGATTTTCGCTCGCTCTCCCCATTTTCTTAAGATGCCCGGAGAAACAAAGGGATTTTCTTCAAGGAAAGGAAAGGAAAGGGATGTGCATACTTACTCCACCGCTGGCGTTGGGTCCCCCTGCTGGCTTCCCTCTTTTTGGAGCTCCCTGAAAGTTTCCAGGAAAGAAGAGGGACATTTTGGGAAGCTTTCCCCCTCTTTTTTGATCTTTGCAAGTTTTTATTTTATTTTTATTTTTTGGTTTTGCAGTTAGTACCTCCTCACCCACCTTGCAACTGGTACTGCTAAGTCTAAGAATAACACATCAGTAAGAAAGTGAGGACTTGAGTTCTGGAGAGAAAGTCCTGAAAGGCGAGAGAGCAGCACAAAACAGAGATGGATTTCCCCTGCGCATGCGCACTGCAGGGCGGGCTTGCGCTCGAGGAGGCAAAACGCGGGGCGGGGGGGAGTGGGAGCGAGCGGTCTTCCCGGCACGCGCTACTTTGAGTCCAGCGTCGCGCGCTGTGGCCCAAAGGCAAGCCTTCAAGGGGAGTGAGGTCAGAGGCATGGCTCTGGATGCAAAAAAAAGGCGGAAGGATGGGTAGGGAATGGGATTCTATGAAATTGGAAGATGAAGCTTTCATGCCTAAGTCTGTGATGAGGAGCTTGAATCAGGGATGGCAGGTCACAAGCCTTGCAGAACTGAGAGTACATAGACCAGCGTTTCTCAACCTGGGGGTCGGGACACCATGGGAGTTATGAAGGGGGTGTCAGAGGGGTCGTCAAAGACCATCAGAAAACACAGTATTTTCTGTTGGTCATGGGGGTTCTGTGTGGGAAGTTTGGCCCAATTCTATTGTTGGTGGGGTTCAGGACGCTCTTTGTAGGTGAAATATAAAGCCCAGGAACAACAAATTCCAAATGTCAGAGTTTATTTTCCTCAGACTCCACCAATGTTCACATTTGGGCATATTGAGGATCTGTGCCAATTTTGGTCCAGATCCATTGTTGTTTGAGTCCACAGTGCTCTCTGGATGTAGGTGAACTACAACTCCCAAACTCAAGATCAATGCCCACCAAACCCTTCCATTATTTTCTGTTGGTCATGGTTGCTCTGTGTGCCAAATTTGGTTCAATTCCATTGTTGGTGGAGTTCAGAAGGCTCTTTGATTGTAAGTTAACTCTAAATCCCAGCAACTACAACTCCCAAATTACAAAATCAGTCCCCTTCCTCCAATCCCACCAGTATTCCAATTTTGGGTGTATTGGGTATTTGTGTCAAATTTGGTCCAGTGAATGAAAATATATCCTGCATATGAGATATTTACATTACGATTCATAACAGTAGCAAAATTACAGTTATGAAGTAGCATTTTATGGGTTGGGGGTCACCACAACATGAGGAACTGTATTAAGGGGTCATGGCATGAGGAAGGTTGAGAAACACTGGCATAGACTATAGATCAGGCCTGGGCAAATTTGGGCCCTCCAAGTGCTTTGGACTTCAACTCCCACAATCCTAACAGCCTCAGGACCTTTCCTTTTTTCCCTCAGCTGTTTAAGCTGGAGCTCCTGCTTAAAAACCAGAAATGTGAAGGGATAACTGTAATAAAGGTAAAGGTTTTCCCTGACATTAAGTCCAGTCATGTTCGACTCTGGGGGTTGGTGCTCATCTCCATTTCTAAGCTGAAGAGCCAGCGTTGTCTGTAGACACCTCCAAGGTCATGTGGCCAGCATGACTGAATTGAGTGCTGTTACTTTCCCACTGGACTGGTAACAATTGATCTACTCACATTTGCATGTTTTTGAACTGCTAGGTTGGCAGAAGCTTGGCTAACACCAGGAGCTCACGCTGCTTCCTGGATTTGAACCTGCGACATTTTGGTCAGCAAATTCAGCAGCTAAGCGCTTTAACTCACAGTGCCACAGTGATGTAATAAGGAATGGCATTTGTGGAAGAACTATGTGTTGTATGATTTCCCCCCCCCCCTCCCAAATTCAACACAGAAAAATACAACTGCAATATTGAAAAAATGGTGGTATTTTTCCTTCACAAGCCTGTGAAATTAGCACTCAAAAAGCACACTTTTCTGGCAGTGCCTTCCTAGAAATCCAGCTTCATTTGGGAAGCCTGACATTAACTATATGGTCTTAATTATTTTTTTGTTCTGCTATCTTGCTTAGTCTACCTCAGCTGGAGCATTGGGTTTCATGAGCTGGCAGGAAGTGGAGACAGGATTTTGGAACCATTAAAGCAGTGGTTCTCAACCGTGGAACTAAAATATGGTCCACGGCCTCACAGTTACTACACCGATGCAATGAGAGCGACTGGTCTCACGAAACCCTCTTACAGTGCTGAAGTTTATTAAATATGGTTTTCTGTGGGTAAGCAGATGGTGATTACTGGATGGCATATGTTCTGTATCAGAAACTAGAGCTAATGTGGTCTATACAATGCAATGTTCTGAATCAGCACACCAAATAACCTAACTGAATCAAAAGTTGACCAAAAACTGATTCGTAACCCTTTTGGTACTAATGTTGGAGAGCAGTCCCTGGTCAAGTGGTCCCTGGTCAAAAAATGTTTGGGAACCACTGTCTTAAAGTAAGCCTCTTCTCAAATAAAGCGGAAAAAAATAACCCACTGACATGGTTGAAATAAGAATAAACTGACAGCCCCACCCCCCCACCCCCCACCCCTTTTGCCTTTACATATGGAACAGGGAATGGCACTTGTGTCATTCAGTTCTTGTGGGTTTTTTCGGGCTATATGGCCATGTTCTAGAGGCATTTCTCCTGACGTTTCGCCTGCATCTATGGCAAGCATCCTCAGAGGTGAGGTCTGCTGGAGCTGGGAAAAAAGGGGTTTATATATCTGTGGAATGACCAGGGTGAGACAAAGGGCTTTTGTAAGTTGGGCTAGGTGTGGATCTTTCAACTGACCACCTTGATTAGCATACAATGGGCTGACTGTGCCTGGAGCAAACTCTTCTTGAAAGGTGATTAGATGTCCCTGCCTGTTTTTCTCTCTGCTGTTTTTGCTGTTGCAATTTTAGAATTTTTTAATACTGGTAGCCAGATTTTGTTCATTTTCATGGTTTCTTCCTTTCTGTTGAAATTGTCCACATGTTTGTGGATTTCAATGGCTTCTCTGTGTAGTCTGACATGGTGGTTGTGAGAGTGGTCCAGCATTTCTGTATTCTCAAATAATATGTTGGGTCCAGGTTGGTTCATCAGGTGCTCTTCTATGGCTGAGTTCTCTGGTTGAAGTCGTCTGCAGTGCCTTTCATGTTCCTTGATTTGTGTTTGGTGGTCCCTCTGTAGACTTGTCCACAGCTGCATGGTACACGGTAGACTCCTGCAGGTGAGAGGATCCCTCTTGTCCTTTGCTGAACGTAGCATTTGTTGGATTTTCTTGGTGGGTTTGTAGATTGTTTGTATGTTGTGTTTCCTCATCAGCTTCCCTATGCCGTCAGTGGTTCCCTTGATGTATGGCAGGAACACTTTTCCTCTGGGTGGATCTTCATCTTTACTCTCGTGGCTTGTTCTTGGTCTTGCAGCTCTTCTGATGTCTGAGGTGGAGTATCCATTGGCCTGGAGAGCCCAGTTGAGGTGGTTCAGTTCATCTTGGAGGAGGTGGGGTTCGCAGATTCTTTTTGCACAGTCTGCCAAGGCTTTAATGGTGCTTCTTTTTTGACTTGGGTGACTTGTGTCGTTGTTTCCAAGCAGCAGCATATCTTGGGCATCCTCACCATACCTTTCTGTAAAATAAAAACTCCAACAATACTCAGTGCAACTTACAACATTTTAAACATTAAATCCAGTAATCTTTTTGTTTTGTAGATATAGCTCATGGCATCTAAAGCAAGGGGTCCGTACCATGTCATAATCCAGCCAGTTTGTCAGAAAATAAACTAAATAAGAAAACAAACTGTCAGAAAATAAACTAAGCTTATCAGAAAGGGAACAAGGTAAACCTTCCTAAACAGTCTTCCACAGCCTAAGGCAGAGCTTTCCAAACATTTCATGTTGGTGACACAACATACAAGGGTTATCTGGAAAGTAAGGTTACAAGGCACGTAGTTCTCACAGGGAATTTTCATGGGGGAAGTTGGTATCACTGCCATGTAGCGGGAAGCCACTGGAAGCGAACAAGCAGTGCCAGTCGTCAGTAGCTCATTGACTGGCGTTGTGGTGAAAGTTAGATATGAGCATCCTAATTCCATTTCCAAGTGCAAAGTTTATTTATTTATTTACTGTGCTTGCATACCACCTTTCTCAGCCTATTGGCGACTCAAGGCAATTTACAACAAGTCAGTATATATAATAGCAAAATACAGATTAAGCATTCAAACCACAACAAAAACAATAAAAACCAACATTATCATCAGCGTCTCCTAGTTAAAAATGTTGTCCAAATTCCATGATCAGTGATTCCATTTCCTATGTCAGTTACTCTGCATTTGTAAATATTTGCTCATATAACCATGCCTTAACTTGTCTCTGAAATGTTAAGAGTGAGGGAGCCAATCTAATTTCCTTAAGGAGGAAATCTCCTTAGCGTATTCCTTTGCGCTGTAATATGCTACCTAAATGCTAAGGGCATGAATGCCACTGCGATTCATCGCGAAATTGTTTCAGTTTATGAAGAGGATGTAATGTCAAGACAGCATGTGACAAAATGGGTACGGAATATATTGTGAGACTATAAAGAAACTTCACAGAGCCATCCAAAGCAAACGTTGTGGGATGCTGTCGGTGGGAGTCTGTCTCCTTCATGACTATGTGCGTCTGCACACTGCTCATGCAATACAGGAATTGTTGACTTCATTTGGTTGGGATGTTTTAAGCCACCCCACTCACAGCCTCCATCTCACACTGAGTGATTATCATTTGTTCACTAAATTGAAGGAACACCTACACTTTTCCGATTATGATGAGGTTAAAATCGAAGTGACGAACTGGCTGAAAAAGGCAGAGGGAAACTTCTATGACACAGGCATCAAAAACTTGTCCCACATATAATAAAATGTATTTAACTGAATGGTGATTATATGAAAAAATAATGTAATACGTATGCTACGAACCATGTAAGTTTATTAAAATATATTAATTCTTTGTATTTAAAAAAAAATCTTGTAACTTTCCTTTCCGGATAACCCTTGTATCTCATGAAAACCTTTCATTTATATATATTTAAAATATATGACTGGCAAGATAATAACATACATTTCCGATATTTTTGCCATTTTTCATTGCATTTGCATGACATGTCTACAGGAGACACACTAATGTGTCATGACACACAATTCGGAAAATTCTGGCCCAGGGGTCATCACAAAGAAGATCCTCTTCTTGTCCCAGTCAAATACAACTCAATATGGACAGATTTCAAAGAAAAAACTCCCCTGTAGGTCTTTGAGAGGGAGAAGGTTTGT